GCTGGAATTTTACAGCCATGGTAAACCTTGTGTAGCTTGAGAATCTATTCTCTCTGGTCCAAAACTGTTCTTATATCACTAAATCCAGTGTGATCTCACATAAAAAGCAGTCGTGCACCTTTTTTTGCATGGCTTATACTGTACCTACCCTGTTTACCACTTAATGAAAACAAATATTCCAGCAGAACAGGCAATGTGCTGGAAAATGAGTCATCCCATTGAGCCTTTTGACATATACTAACTACCACAAATCTACTTTTGATTTAATGGAATTTTATATTATGGACAGCTACATAAAGTAGTAATACTAAAAAGTAGGCGACTGAGAGGTTGAAAAAAAATAACAAAAAGCTTTATGAATCTCAATCTGATAAGTTTGTCATGCATGTGGATTTTGCCTCTTTGACTCAATAATTTCTAAAACCACTTTTTTCCCCTTTAGTCATAGTTACTAATCCTCGTATGGCTCTACCTACTCTGTGAAATCAAGGTGCAGTTGTAATTAAGACAGTACATCAATAAAAAAAAGTTTATTTTTGTTAAATAGCTTCATAGTCTGAAGTAACAATTTGTGGTCCACACTTTCCCTGACCCACTTGACTAATCTAAAGAAAAAATTTATGTAAATCTATATCAGATGAATTATTGTGACATAATATGGAAAAGTTGAAGGACATAAATGTCTTTTGACTTAAACATTCCTGATGTTTAATCAAGTAAGAATCAGATCAAACAATCCATGTTCTTGTGGTTTCTTTCAGGCAAGAAAAAAAAACTGTGATGACTCATAAAAGGAAACCAAATACTTTCCTCGAACATGAGAAGGTGTTGTAACCATAAATGATCTAATTACAGTGACAGACAGCATCCCAATGATAGCAACTAGAACAAACACAAGGCTTCAGCCATCAGACAAAATCACTGCCCTATCAGTTTCCTGATAACGATAGCAGTGCTAATTGCATAGTAATTCATTTGGACATTAACAAAGGATTCATCTTACTGTATATCCATCCATTTCGCAGATGAGCTTCCATCTTTTTTACTTTAGTCAGTTCACTTCTCATAGTTCAGAAAATACTGTTGCATGCTAGTTTAGGTTAACTTGACTGTAAGATGTGATACCTTTACTCTTCTCTCCATTTTTCATGTGATATTCAGCCAATCTTCCATATTCTGTATCTTACAGAGATTAAAAGCTCATATGAGTCCTCAAAAAAACTATAGTACTGATTCCTGAGACACTAAGTTCTCTGAAACATCAGTATACTAACAAAAAAAAAACTATAATTGAAATTTTACCTTTTAAAAATAAGGAAAGGAGTATGTAAGCATTTTAACATGTTATATGTTTTTTACTTTAGATGTTTTTATTCCAATTCAAATTTTATTTCAGCTTCTTCTGGGTTTGAAATACCATTACATTTACCATTTTCCGTGTGTTTCAGTGTGTTTATTTACTTTCCTCCAGTGACTTTCCACTTACCCTGGCTCATTTCCCTCCTTGTGGCAATTTCGAGAAATCACCAGGATGAATAAAATACAAGTTAAATGTTTCGTCTTAGACTCTATAAGCTAAGGGGGCAGATATTTATTATAAAAAAATAAGCTTGTAGTAAACATTTTATAGTTGTTTCAGTAAATACATCTATTCTTCTATCAGCACTGACAAACGCTTTATTTTTATTTCTTACCCTATTAGAAATACATGCTTTATTAATTAGTAATGTTAGGATGAAGTATTAGAATTCTGAATTCCCCTTTCTTTCCCTGATCCCTTTATTCATGTCATGTCCAGGCTTAAGGTGTTTCCTTGGTGATACAAATAGTAGTTCAGATATTTTGTATGCTGGGTGGTGAAGCATTTAGGAAATGCACCCAGCTCTGCAGAATCTGGAGAGTCTGCTTGCATTGCTGGGAAGTGAGGTCAGGCCTTCTCTGCAGCTGCCGCACAAACAGATAACAGGCAGGCCTGTCAGTCCTCTCTTTCCCAACTTTTTCTCTGCTTGCACAATTCCTAATTGAGTTTTTCTTTTATAGTCTCAAGAAGCTAATGTCATGCCGTTGTCTTGTAAAAAATCATAAATGATCATAGTTTAACATATTTTGGAAAACCTTTATATATAAATTAAATAATTCATTCTAAGATCACAAACTAATGAATCATGTATACATAAATAACCTTATGAAATACATTTAGATCATAGTTGGATAATAAAACACCACTGTTTCATGTCAGTGGGTTATGATTACCAAGGAGTTTAAAAACTAGTAATGTTGTTTAAGTCGTTGGTGGAAAGAGATCCAAATGATAAATTCATGCCATGCTATATTACAACAAAGTTACACCATGTTACAACTTCAGCATATACAGACAACAAAAATTTGAATAACTATAAATTGAATTGAAATAATTCTTAATGAATATGCACTGTTCAAGTTGGCAATATCAGTGCTAACCTACCTAAATATTATTAGACTGCTGCTAGACTGTTATGTGTATTCCTGTGCCTGTTGGTGCTCAGTCTACCACAAGATATGAAATCAACAGTAGGTGAAACAATTTTAGAATAAAACATAAGATAGAGGCAGTAAAAGTGAGTAGCAAAATAATTAAAGTAAAGTTCATAAAAAAAGAGGTGGGCATATACTCTAATCCTCAGCCTAAGTTATTAATGCAAGTTAACTAATACTGTCGAGATTTCATAAAAAATTTGCTCTTTTTTTGAACCAACTGGCAGTTTTATCAGATTATATAGCCACTGCTTAAAATATTGACATTATCAATACCATATAGAATAACTGATTTAGTTTTTATGAAGTTTGTATAGATATTATTTCAATATCTAATGCATTTTTAGAGATTAAAGTAATCTCGGATTGTTTTAGTTACATTCCTATTGTAGCTGAGGCAAAATTAAAAGGTGTAGTTACTAGTTGTCTATGAAAAAACTTAAAAATGAAAAAGCAAAAAATAAATGTAAATCAAATAGTCACTTGAGGAATAGTGGGTTTCTGGTTTTACGCAGTACAAAAAATTCTCAAAATATGTGAAAAATGCAGTTCGGTGAGTTTATTCCAGGTTTCTTCAGGAAAAATAAACATGATACAAACTCAAAAAGACTACTTGCCACATCTCCTGGCCTAGTTTCTGCCTTTGTGCTCGCTTCACCTGATTAAGGCTGAGTGACTTGCCTTCTGAAAGGCCTGGTAGACTGCAGCTAGAAGACTGGAAAACTGGTAAAAAACCATAAGCCAACCCACTTTTCACCTGAGCTACCTGGAGTCCATGTATTTATACACCAGACACCCAAACAAAATCAATTAACTAATTAAACAATTTACTAAGAAATAATTGTATTCTAAGCAACTACTTTCAAACAAAAATGAAACAAATAACCAAATAAAGTTCTAAAAGAAAAATAGAGAAATAGCTCCTACAAAAGGAATGGAGAGAATGATGGAATATTTAGTGCTCTAAAGAATTTCCATGTATTAGCTACATCATTGAGGAAAATGGGCTCAAATGCCCTCCAGTTGAAGCAACTACAAATATGAAAAGAGGTGAAGGAATATATATTAAAATACACAGAGCTCCGCATAACATTGCATATGATTTAATGTGCTGTTATCAGCTCACTGCTGTGACATTTGAGTATCAACTGTATCAGTTTGGAGAAAAGTGCATATGTGTGGTATAAAAAACACATCTAAGATAGTGACATCTACACAATGTAAATTTTCAGCATATTCAATGTCATTTAAGATTAAGCAGTCAAGGTTTTCACTGCTATCTCCCAGAGGTATAAACATTTATAAACTGTTAAAATCAGTCCTAAAGCACACTCCTTTCATACTATACCTATTTGATGTTTTAAATCATGTATCATTATATCAACACAATTAGTATATTGTTAACATGAACAGACTTTATTGCATTAGTTTTCAAACACAGGCGGATATACTGATGACTTGTGTGGCAGCAAATATCATTGAGCATGTCAGCATATATGGGGTGCATAAAGTTTGTACAGTTCAATTCTTTAGAATGCATGTGCATTTTATTACAGCTACTCGGATTTGCTTTTTGCTTCTTTTTTTTCAAGAAAAGATTTGCTATCATTAAAACTTCAACAAGTAGACTAAGATTTTTAGAATGTTTTATTGAAAGTAATCTACACTTACAATTTAGATGTCAAAGTGTTTTTTGAGGATTGAAAATGTATTAACTGACAAAATATTTACATTTATCAGGAAATACGCAAGCATTGCTCAAACTCTCACTCTGTTAGTATGGCCATGAAATTTCTTCTAATTGAAAGACTCAAGCCCGCCCCTCTGTAGCATCCCCCAGCCCACCCAAAAAAAAAGAAAAAAAAGAAAACAAAACAAAATGTTGGTTGCTACAACTGAGGGGGAAGGGTTAAATTGGGTTTCAGGCTTTAAATCCCCCAAAACATATTCTGTTCTCTTTACATCAGTGTGGAGTTAACCCAATCCTTTTAAAATCCAAATCTCAATCCTAGGTTTAAGGCACTCCTATGTACTTTTACTTCACATCTAACATAACATCAAATGTTATGGCTAATTGGTATAAAACACTTTTCCAGTATTAATACGTTTATTTTCCTTGCAACAATGTTTTCTTTTTTTTTTTTTTGCACTTGGAAAGCTCTTTACATAACCAATGAACAGCCATAATGTAAAACATTTCAAAAGCACTTTGGAAATAAAGCACTCCCTCTTTATCATTAAAAGCTGTACAGATGTGGCCAGAGTAACAAAGATGCATTATAATGTGAATTAATAATAATGTGGTTGTTAAGTGGTAGCATTGTGGTTGCAGAGCGATGTCGTTTGGGAGTGACAGTCTAAATAAACTTTTCTTAAATGACACTTGTTGATTTAGAATATTCTCAAAAACAATCTGCTGCTTTTTAAGTTAACACTCAAATAAAGATTTGATGCTTTCATATCTAATACATGTTTTGTGTCCTTAGGTGCATTTATCATTTGTTGGACTCCCGGCTTGGTCATCCTACTTCTCGACGTCTTTTGCTCCAGCTGCAACATCCTCACCTATGAGAAGTTCTTCCTACTCCTTGCAGAGTTTAACTCCGCAATGAATCCTATCATCTACTCATATCGGGACAAGGAGATGAGCGCCACCTTCAAGCAGATCTTGTGCTGTCAACGGCAGGAGAATGTTAATGGGACGGTGGCGGAGGGCTCTGACCGCTCAGCGTCTTCTATCAACCATACAGTGCTGGGTGCTGGCAGTGTGCATCACCATCACCTTCACAATGAGCATTCGGTGGTTTAAAATTATTTAAAGAAGGGAGACTGAAAGTTGAGGCGATTCTGTCTGAAACAAGGTAAATACTTAAGAAGGGATGGGAATGGTATTGATTGTAGACTGAATTTAAAGACAGGTGAAGGACTGATGATCAGTATGATCGAGGATTCAAAGAAGGAGAAAGGGATTAAAATGTATGAAGAAAAGACTAAGCGCATGAAGAGAGGAAGTCTTATATTCAAGGACTCTGACACACCAATAGTATTATTGTGTAGCTGTATATTGTTTTCTTTGTTTAATGTTTTTTTTTTTTTACAAGCAACGTTGATATGAATTATTTAAGTAGTCTGTGAAGTAATGCCAGTATAACCGTACTCTTTCTCCATTCAGTCTGTTTAACTTTGAAAAAACTGCATTTATTCACCACATTTTGACTTTGCTGATCAGTGCTTTTTCATGTCATGGAGCAGATGGCTTTTACTGTGAACAGACATAACCGCATCAACTGCTATAATCTAACTTTACACATGAACACCAGTTGGATTTTTCATGTTATATAAATGTCTGTTTTTGACCCTTCCTTTTACACATTTCCGTGCTTTTGTAAGATTTTAAGAGGGTTCAATTGTCTTGATAGTGGCTGGTGTCTTTAAGACAAAAAATATTGTTACGATTTCATTTTTTTTGTTCTCTTACTTCTTCTTATCACTCAAATTTATTTGATGCATTGGAGGATTAGATTTCAAAGGGAAATATTTATTTTTTTACAGCACCAGCCTGAGAAGTGGATGGAAATTTGGAGATCAACCCCAATTTTTTACCATTTTCAGCCCTCACATCATAACAAACCCTTGCTTTCCCATGTACATAGACCAATTTATAGCATTGTACTTTACAGTTAGAACCAGATATGTATATACAACATAAAAAGAAGAACATATATTTTTTCCTTACTGTCTAACATTATGTCAAATTAAAGTTTTCCAGTTTCAGGTCAGAACCAACAAATATCCTAATTGCCAAAATAATGAGGTCAAGATTTTTTTTTTTTTTTGCATTCCTTTCTTCAAATACATTTATTGACAAAGATTACAAACGTTGTGACTTTAAAAACTATGAAATTCAAGATGATGATGTCATGGCTTTGTTAGCCTCTGATTTATATTTATAAGTTCTGAGTCGTATGAAGGAACCACTGTGGATATATTTTTAAAGAAAGAGGTGATAAATCAAAGATTAATCTGCCAATACATCAGGAGAAAAACCAATGACAGGACTAAGAGTTTCCTGTTTCGTCATTTCAAGTGATTACATGTAAATATAAACATTGAGATGTACAGTTAGCATGCATTTCTGAATAGAATAAACTTTTGTGTGAAAGATCTTTGAAAATAGAATCTTGTAAAGATACAGACCTAAGCTGAGTGAAACGAGTCCCATAACAACAACTGCTGAAACTGCACTGCAAGGGGAAGAAGGATAAATGGCAGTTTGCAAATGCACTCAGGGAAAAAAAGATTTTTTATTGGTGAAGATAAGTCTTGTGGTTTGATGAAACGTAAAACTATGTGGATGCTTTGGTGTAGGAGGAATTGATGCACTATGTGAAGTAGATGGCCTGAGCTAAAGTTATATAGAAACTTTAATAACATTGCAAGATGTCATCCAGGGAGTCAATGCTTGGTCAGATGGAAGTCTTCTGAGTGGAAAGTAGCCCAGAATATGCAACCAATTAGATACAAAGCGGAAAGATATTTAATGTGTTGGGATGGTCATTACAAAGCCCTGATCTTTGTCCCTCAGATACATTACTGACATAAGTTTTCCAGTTCTATCAGTTCAGAAGTAACCAGGCAACTTGTGACAAGCTTCTAGAACAGGGACCATCTAATTATTTGATTCAGGTGTGTTGAAGGTTACTTTAAAAAAAATATATGTTTTGTGTATAAAAAGAGCATCAAAAGAACTATAAATAAGGTTGATTCAGTAAACTGGTGAAGTAGAAGCATGACTAAGATTTTACTGTCATGCTTGCAGCATGAAGCTATCAGAGCCAGCGTTACTCACCCACACATAGTTCTATGAGCAATTTCCTTTTCTGCTCTTTCAAGATGATTCGCAGTCAATAAATGGTGCAAAAGTGTATCAAATTTCAACTGAAAGTTTGTCTCCATAATGATGGTCTTTTAGTGACTGTTCCTCCAGATGACACAGGTGATTGAATATTTTTAAGTTACATGACAGTATATTGCCTTAACATTTGCTGTAATAGTTTTACTGGTCATATAAACAATGTTACATGTATGCAGAAGTATATGGTGTCCATAAATATGATCATATGAAATGAGCTGACATATATAATCTAATGTAGTTACATTCTCACACAGTATTCATTAAACTAAGTTGAGTTTGTGATTAACAGTCCAGCTTAGTGTCAAAAGGGTGTTTCAAGTTTTGCAAAAAAACTCTTTTACCTCTGATTTTACCTCAATGTCTTGTGCCTTTATTCACACTTATGGAAAAGAAGAAATGTTTGCTCTATTTTTGCTTTTTATCACTCTTGAAATTTTCAGATAATTAATATCAAACAAAAATATATCGAGTAATTACATGGTTGTTTTTATGTTTTTTTTCGAGGGATCATCCAAAAAATTTTGTCCAGACAATTCTGGCACTTTGGAAACATCTTCTTTCTCCTAAGCTTATTAAGTCGTTGTGGCTGACTAGTCTAGTATGCCTACAAAAACAGGCATAAGTCAGCCTCATTGAAGAGTTGTTAAAGAATGAACGGTTAAGACATTAATAAAAAAAATATGAAAACATACAGTAGATAGTGTATAAATGATAGCTAAGATTCCAATAAACAAGTTTATGAAACCATTATGCTTCTCAATGTGCTGTACTTGCGTCAAACTGTAGTAAAATTGTCTGTGATGGCTCAATATTTAGTGAACTTCTACAAGTACAAAGTCTTTGAACTCATTTTCCTAAATGTTTTATTTTTAGACTCTTTTCTTTCAGGCAGATGAAGGATGAAGCACTGTGGTGAATTGCACCTTACTCACGGCTGTTACAAAGGGTTTTTTGTGTGTGTGTTTTTTTGTGTGTTTTTGTCATGATGACTGTTCTGACATTTTTTTTTTTGTATCTGACTTTAACATTTTAAAAAAGGGAGATTTTTGAATTTTACATGTCTTTGTTTTTTACAAAAGATACATTTTCATCAACTTTTTTCTGTACATCTGGACACTGGTTTGCGCTTCTCGCTACATTTCAAAAGATTAAACCCTAGAGAATATTTCCACGCTTGATCTTCACTATAAAAGAAATTTCCGACTCGGTTACTTGTATTATTATACCAAACCAACTAAACTGTCCATTATTACATCTGATTGGTATTGTGTCACTCTTTGCATACTATTATGAGAATATTTGTACATAATGTTTAAATATATCTGAAACATAATATTCTAAAGTTAATCATGAAAAAAAATTAAACATAAATGGTGGATTATGGTCATCTTTTGCCAAAATGATCTTGTAGTTTGATGTCATCTATATTTTTCTGTGAAAGAAGTTAATTTCCTGAAGACACTATAGTAAACTTTAATTTTCTTACTGACTGAAAACTAGCTTTGTGAGTGCATTAAATTCCAGTTTTGTTGTGAAAAGTAACCCAACACTAGACTTGGTTGGTTGGAAGTCTGGAGCTTGTTTCACCTCCAAACAAGTCCAGCAGTCAGTGCATGAAACTACATCCAACAGTGGTTTCAAAGCAGCGAGGGGAGAGTTTAAACCAAGGGAGATGAGCAAGAAGAGCAGGTGGTGTCAAGTACCGTAATCTTTGCAGATTGTGTTGATAGTCCTGTCTTTCAGTAGAACAAATAACAGTATCAGTGTTAAGTGCAGCGCATTTGTCTCAACATTTGTTCTTGCCTGTAAATCTCACCTGTTTTGTATTGACAACCTGTACTGTTTCTACTGAGATCGATCCGTTTCTCGTCCGACTAGCATGTCCTATCTTGGTTTCTGTTTATTCTGAATCAGTGTTTTCCATTGCATTCAACTGCTGTTGTTTGGCAAAGCTAGATAAGCATCACTTACTCTAGAAACCAAAGTTTCACTAATAGCTTTTCTGTAGGTCTGTGTTTACTTTTACAATAAAACACTATTTTAAAACCATAAATGCCAAATCTTTTTGTACCAATTAGGTTACTGTGTAACATGAATTAATTTATAACAGTATCCGTACTTGAAAAGTTAAGACCTGTGAATATACATTTAACATTTTGAAAAAAAAAAAGATTAAAAAAGAATTAGAAATGTTCCTATTCAGGTGTTACTTTGAATTGTAGTTGTAGAAATATGTTAGATGATGTTTCTGGAAGGATTTATTGATGATAGGATTCACCATGTTTAGTCTCGGCATGACTGGTTCTCTTCTGTTATCTGCATGTGTGTCTGTTTCCATGACATCAAGGAAGCTGGACAGAGAACGCAGAGGGCTGCTCTTTAACAGACCCAATAAGAAAGGACCTTGAGCTAGTTCACATGTTTTCCACAGCCTTGGTGTTTAGCAGGATCTTTCTGTGACCCTTTGGGTATTTTGTTTTAATAGCAAATTTCTGCCAAGTCCTCTTGTTTTAATACTTTGTTCCCTGAGGGGAGATGAGATGAAGAAGGTTGTTCTTAAAACTTCCATTGGAGAAAGAGCAACTTCCTAACTATGAATTTGACCTTAAACATCATATAAGCACCTGGATTGTGTGTCAGGAGAGCAACATATTATGGCTTTTGTTAAAACACATATAACAAGCAATGATGATAACAGAAGTTATAAATAACAGCCATGAAAACAGTTTTGCAACAATGCTTTGGACAATTTTTCTTAAAAATGTTTCTTAACTATCTACTTTAATAACTAAAAATAATATTTAGTGTAGTAGGACTAAATTCAAATTAAATTATTTTTGATATTGCTTCTTCTATCCTATTTTACTTAGCAGATAGTTAGCAGGTAGTGCTTATTTTTGTTCATAATGATCACATTTATTTGTACAAAACCAAATACATTGTATTATGCAAATAATCATTCAGAGGAATGGTTGAACATAAAATACAACAACAAAAATTATTGTATATCTTTTTGTTCGATTGTGTAAAAGGAAGCTGTATCGGTTTCCAAAAAAACAAAAGAAATGCTTCTGACATGCTGAATTCTCATTCTACTGCTTAACTAAGGGAGTGCTGGGTTAACTTTTCTACTGTGGCTCAGAAAGCTGAACTTATCTGAGCTATAATAACTTGACCTTTTAAAAAACTTTTTTTCTACAGTTTACCATACTGGAGAAAAAAGAGACTTAAAGTGACAAATACAGCCTCCTAAATAATTTAAGAGAAATCTGACACATGTATTTCTGGTATAAAAACAAAAGATCATACCTTAGACCATATATTATTATTTAATAATAATAATAATAATAATAATAATAATAATAATGTTATGGATTAAGTTATAAGAAATTAATATTAAGGTGTTATATTTTACAATCAAATGATATCCCTAAATCAGTAAACAAATTATATTATAAAATGAAAGTGTTTAATGTTATTGTGGACTGTTTGGAGGGGGAAAAAAGAAATAAAATAAAAAACTGACCTTTTAAAGAAGACTGTGGACAAAAGATTACAGGGTCTGTTTCTTTTTCTCAATGGGAGGAAATAAAAAAAATGAGTGTTTATTGGAAAAATAATTAGAAACAAAACATATATGTGTTGTTATTATCTCAGTTATTTCTTTTTTTTTTTTTTTTTAACAATGTCCTGTCTGGCAATGTGGCAATAAGAATAATTGTCTTGATGCTAAAAAGAGCCCAAAAGATTTTACTTTCACAAGTAAATCTAAGTTATTTCTAATAATTTCTGGTGCTGCCCCCTCTTGGCCAGGCTCACATGGTAAAAAAAAAAAAAAAAAAAAAAAAAAAAAAAAAAAAAACCTTATCTGAGTTAGACTAACTTGTAAAATTGCTCTTAAAAAATTATAAAAGTACGTGATATCACAGATTTATACATTTGGAGAACCTTTGAAAAGTAAAGTAGGAAAAAATTTTACCAAGTGTAGGAAGGGATGCTTACAGACTCCTAAGGGGGAAGATCGAATGTTGAAATTTAAACAAACAAATGCATAAGCCAAGTAGAACTGAAAGGGTGTGCAAACTCGAGCTAACAGGCGATTGCAGATTTTATTTTTCATTCTGACATATGAGTTTCTTTTTAAGTTAAATCACTCAAAATAAAAATGGCGTACTGAAGATAGTATTGCTTTTTTAATAAAAAAACAAAAAAACAAAAAAAAAACGGCACGCTGGAGAGACTATGTCTCTGAGCTGGCCTGGTGTTGTCTCAGAATCCCCCTAGAACAGCTGGAGGAAGTGTGTGGGGATCGGGAAGTCTGGGCATCTCTGCCAAGACTGCTAACCTCCATGACCTGGCCCCGGATGAAGAGGAAGAAAATGGATGGATGGATGGATGGATGGATGGATGGATGGATGGATGGATGGATGGATGGATGGATGGATGGATGGATGGATGGATGGATGGATGGATGGATGGATGGACAAACATTATATAATGATGATAATAAAAACACTAAAAATGATCAAATGGGGCTCATCTGAAGAAGTAGTAAAAAAGTCAAAAGTAAGATCAGTCAGAGTTCTCAAACCATCTTCATTGTAAATCTGAAATATAACATGAATATAACAGAAAGAACTTTTCTAATTCACAAACTTGGTATTAAGAGCAGGCTATGACCCAGAAACAAGTCTGCATGAGGACATTGACATGGAGGGCACTGCATAAGCAATTAAAAGCACTTCTTAGATGGAAATGGTCAAGGACATTATAGATAAGAATCCTTGCTACAGCAGGAAAATATTTTTATTGGAAAGAGTGAAACATGTTGGGGTTTTGTGTCTGTGTGTGTGTGTAGACTATCTACTGTTTATTGTTCCACATTTTTGGAGTGTTTGCCTCCAGCTGACTGATATATGCCTCCTCACTTCCTGTTGCTCCTGAATGGACCAATAAAAGCCATCATGGCCAAGCAGGAAATCCCCCCAGTCGCTGAGTGAAGGGGATGTCACATCACCGTCAAGTCAACATGGACACTTTCCATGATTCATATTATGGTTTGCTGAAAAGCAAAACTGCTCCCACTGCTCAAACTGTATTTTCTTATAACCTGTTCGCCATCAAAAAGTCAATAAGTTTATAAAAGATGAACTTCAAAGATTCATTGACCCAAAGGAAAAACATTATTATGACAAAACAGGAAGAGATGTTTAACTCTAATCATGTCCAGCTGCCATTCTGCAAGAGCTGCTTGACCCAGCTGTGAAAGAATCCACTCAAATAAACCTTTTGTTTAAAGGAGAGCTGATTGACTTATTTAGTGTGAAGAAGGATGTTTTGTATACTTGCCCCCTACAGAGCATTTTGACAAAAACATCTTGAAGACATAGCAATAGAAGCAGGAGAGGAGAGGAGAGGAGAGGAGAGGAGAGGAGAGGAGAGGAGAGGAGAGGAGAGGAGAGGAGAGGAGAGGAGAGGAGAGGAGAGGAGAGGAGAGGAGAGGAGAGGAGAGGAGAGGAGAGGAGAGGAGAGGAGAGGAGAGGAGAGGAGAGGAGAGGAGAGGAGAGGAGAGGAGAGGAGAAAACCTTAATGAAACCCAGATGTGGAGGAGGTGAAATGCGAAGCGACACAGGAGGAAGTGGAGAGGGAGAGCCTTAGCCATAGTTTATGTCAATCACAAGAGGGATGACCAGTCGAAGGCCAAACTCTGTTCTGCCTTCTCCAAACAGTTTACATTGGGCTTCCCTGAAGCGCACACATACACACACAAGCACATTGTAACCAAATCAAGACTACACAGGCACACCCATACGGTGACTAAACAAGTTGGCAAATATGTAAAAAAAAACAGCACAAATACATAAGACACCTGGCATTAGGTTCATAGTTATACAAACTGAAATGAAAGACAAATTTGTTTCACCCAGGAATTTGTTCCTAAAGGCCTTTCTTATAATCCCTCATTTACAGAAAGAGATTGCTGCAGGATCCCGGTTAGGCTCCATTTCATGTTCTAATAGGGGGGCTTTATGTAAATGAATAATAAAAAAAAAAAAAACATTTGAAACAAAAATAAGACACATCCCTTCAGTACTATGTGTATGTAGCAATGGCTGAGTTTGAATATTAGTATGTTTCTTTAAAATCAGTTCATTTATACATATCACATCTTTAACTGCTTAGTGTTTCATTGGTGATATTGACACTGAGGACATATGGTCCAAGTGCATTGGTTTATAATTAATCTCAAGCTATTATTGTAATGACTGCTCTGTTATCATAGGCCAGGTAAAGGGGGTGGTTTTACTAAATGTACCATTAATAAACTCTATTGTCTCCAGCTGTTTTAAACTGTTTAGGATGGAGTCAGCTCAGTGGAAATGGGGAAGGAAGAAGGGAAAACTTGATCATAAGCTATTATATAATACGATTTAAAGCATCAGATCAGAATCAGAATTACTTTATCAATTCCTTGCAGGAAATTGATTAAACAGATATTAACTATTAAGATGTATCGGTGAGGAAACACTTTTCATCTCAGGTTCAGGTATTCTGCAGCCTGGTTTTCAAACCCAGTTCTCAGGGCTCACTGTTCTGCATGTTTATTTCATATTTTTCTACCTCCACACACCTTTTTAGAAAGGTAATCATCGCCCTAATGTTCAGAGTCAAAGTCCCTCTCCAAAATGTCAATACTTACATAAAAAAAAAAAAAAAAAAATGTGAATGATCAATTTGGTCGTCAGTTTAAATATCATTCTTCCAATTCTCAGCAAAAATCAATTAGTAGATCTCAGATAGGAAATGTAAAACAAATTGAATATTTCTTTATTCACTTGCAATACATAAGTATATTACTTAATAGAAATAAAAGATGAAAAAATGAATAAAGGAATTAAATAACAGTTTACGTATTATGACAAATAAAAGTATCACACAACAATCATAAAGGAAGTAAGCCTGTTGGTTATCCTGGAGCCATAAACAAATGAATATAAAACAAATGTATTACAATAATGCAAATCTCTAATTAATAGAATCCATAATGTGTATCAGCAAAATAAAGTTGTCCGAATACAAAGTCTAATTACTTAGATAAGATTTATCTTTTTTTTTTTTTAAAGATAAGTAATTTAACCTCTTTGTTGAATGTTTTAATGTTAGTTTATTCTAATTTTTTATATTTCTAAACAATGCCATAAATTGATCTAATAAAGATGGGATAACAAAATCCCCATTAGAATAAAGCACTTTGAAAACTTTACAACAAGGACGTAATTTACTATAACTTTGCTCTTACATAAAATTATTTCAGAAAAAAACAAAACAATGAAAACCAGCAGACGCATAAAAAGTAGAATTCTGCAAACTGGAATAGAAAATAATATACCATAGCTATGAGAATCAGCTGAAAGTGATTGTGTGCCACTGTGGAATAAGCTAGTGTCAACTGTAAAGGCAAAGTTAACATTATTTTTTCATATCTTTAATGTCGTACTCTGACTGCATTTTTTTTTTATCTTTGCTTCTCTCTCCAGTAAACATGTAAAAAAGTTAAACAATATAGAAAAAAACAACAGTCAAAGACCCACAAATTAAAAAAAAAGTCTAAAAAATGTTTAAATTACTGAAGATAACCATGAAGTTGTGATTCAAGTTTAAAAAAGCAGTACATGACAAGTGGCTATAGCTAAGGAGAAATTCACTTAAAATAATCGTCGTTCTTTGTGAACATTTACAAGAAAAATTTATGCAGCTGCATCTACAGCATTGGTTTTCATCCTAAGATAATTATTTAATTTTTTATAATATCTGAAGGTATTCTGGTCTGGAAGAAAATGGCTGTCAATGCTAAGGATAAATACCAAAACATAACTTCAATAAAATAATAATGTTTTCTCAATTAAATCCCAAATACTGCATTGATGTCCTTATCAACGTATCAACAAAACCCAGTAAGCTCTTGGTAGAAGACAGCTGCACAGAGAGCAGCTGAAAGGCTTACAATATTCAAAGCACATTACAAATACTTTTTATAACCAGAACAACATTCTTAAAAAAACATTTTTCACATATAATAAATGCACTGACATGGAAATCCTGTTTGGACTGAGTCATAGAAAGTCAGCATGATCAAGTGATTTTACTGAAGACTATCAGTGTGTTTGATTATAAAGAAAATAGTAAAACTATGCAGGACTTTGATAACACTTTGGGAAAACATTCAATTTAGTTCCTTTTGTACTATGAAGTCATAATCTCATATCTATGAGGGAAATTTCAATGGGCATGCTTTAAAAAAATTGAATTCTGAGAAAAGTTAACACAAAAAAACTTCTATTTGCATCATTGGTTGTTAAACTTTCCTATTTTAACACTTTAAAACAGTTCCTTACTTAGTATGTTACACTAAATCAGGCATTCATGTACTACCTTTTAAGTTTTTATAGGACAACACATTTCAACACTTTTTATATACTTAAAATCGTCACATGAACAGCATTTTTGTCATTGTTATGAATGAAACATTGTGGCCATATAGTGTACAAATAATGGACAGTACATAATTCTAACTTCCAAGTTCTGTGGTAAATTAAAAACTGGATAAACATCAGTTACCAAGTACTGGAGCTCAATTAGAAATTATATTTATGGCACTTTAAAGAATCAGTTCAGAAGAGTTGCTCATTTATTTTTTGAAAAACCAGTGCGACATGACTCATTTTGTCCTGGAAATGTTTACTAAAAGGAATGATAGGGCTACCATTTTTGTCATGATGTCGCTGCTTCATGTCTTTTAGCTCCAAATCGTCATTTAAGGGGTAAATGAAAACTTTATGGCATTTTTCTGAACCACTGTGATGTAAGATGTGGTTTTTGCCACACAGCTGTTGTAGCATTTAGCATGTTTATGTTTAATGCACTGCAGCAGGTGGGAATGAAAAAACACTTTACACTGTAAACTGGGAGCAAAAATTCCTCAAATATATAAAATTAAAAAGGGGATAAAAGCAATAGGATATGGTGTCCTCAGATGAGTAGACAAACAAGAATTAACCATAACAATTCATGTTTTATATTTATGCTTGTGCTCAATGACAGTTTCTGGATTTCCCATGATGCTTCTCTATGGTTCAGCTTCAGTCTCTGCATTAGTGCTCAGGCTGTTTTGATGCATCCGCTCCAGTATCCGATGTATGCTGCTAAAGCTCGGCCTGTCTGATGGGTGTGTGCTCCAGCAAAGACGCATCAGATTATACAGCTCTAGGGGACAGTTCTCAGGACAGGAAAGGATGTGACCGTCTCTGACATAATATATGACCTCCTCATGGCCCATACCATAATATGGCTGCATCCCATGTGAGAAGATCTCCCATAGCACCACACCATAAGCCCAAACATCTGATTCAGTTGTGTAACGATTGTAGAAAATTGACTCTGGAGGCATCCAGCGAATGGGAATGGCATCATTCTCATTAGCTTTGTAGTAATCAGCTGAGTAGATATTTCTGGAAAGCCCAAAATCTGCAATCTTTACAACCATTTCTTCTCCAACCAGGCAGTTGCGGGTTGCAAGGTCCCGGTGAACAAATTTGCGCTCTGATAGGTAAGCCATGCCCCCAGCAATCTGCTTAGAAATGGACAGCTGCTCTGGGCAGGTGAGATACCCTGCCTCCACATCAGAGGAGAAACTGCGAGCTGATAGGCTGGCCCGGCTGAGGGTGCGCACGGATTGGGTTGGCGATCGCCGACGTAGGTATTCATTAAGGTCACCTTGAGCCATGTACTCAAACAATAGACACATAGGTTTACCCACAGCACACACACCTGAAAAGAGGAAAGACAAACAAGAAAGTTTTCATGAGAAGAAAAATAAATTAACAAAACAAACAGTTATCCTTCATTTTCCATTCATGTTCTATAACACTAATTCCTGTTCTCTGTTGTGCTGCTTAACTAAATTTGCCCCCAAAAACCCATAAAAAGCCTACTGGGCACTGAACTGCAGTTTTATTTTCTCTGATGTGACCTTGTTTTGATTCAACACATAAACTAATAAAGTTTGAGGGGTTACTTTCCAAATATGATCTATCAGGGGGACTTGTAATTTATTCTTTTTTTGGTTATGAAATGAAAGCTTCAATGACCTGCTGGCAGTAAAGCTATTCGAAATGTTTTCAAATGTTTTTCTAACCCTCTGATGTTTGCTTTCATTTCAAGCTGAGATCCTTGAGAACAAAATAAAGTCAGACTGGAATCCACTGAAGACGCAGGTTTAGATGTGTGAGGGTAGAACTACACATTTGCAATCTGATTTTTAGTAATGGATATATGCACAATTCAGAAAGGAAATCCTAGATGAACTTACATCGATTATCAGTTTTAATCAGTAAAATGTAAAGTAATCTACAGTTTAAGCTTATGGAACAGTACATGGTCCTTAATATAGCTGCAAAAAATGACAAGCATTTATGTGTTTGTGTGTTAGAGAGGGAAACAGAAGCTAGGAATAACTCACCAGTGGTAACCTTGGTTGAAGATCAACAACTAGATTAACATGTGTCATTACAGTGCTTAATATATAAAATATAATCTGCACCCATGATGCAAAGTAGAGTGCAAATTTAGTTCATCTCTAAATATAAGTCATTCATCTTATGGCAACGTATTTTTGCACCTCAGTTGCTGCATATTATTAGTCTCGAGGGTGGTTAGAGGTTAAGGAAATATTCCAATTAATGCTATTGTTGTTTATTGTTTAATATACAGAAGACTTGATGTATTAAAAGCTGAAGTCAAAGAAAATATAGGACTCTGTAATTATGTGAAAGGGGGGTAAATGATGATTTTAAGATTTCACAACAGGAGGAAGTGTGACACCAACCTCCCTTTAGTGCAGTCAATGACCGATGACTAGCTCTGTTTACTTTCTGTGAGCAGCACCAAAAAGAGCATGCTGCACCTCTAAATGTCTTCCTGAAAGTATATTTGGATCTGAGCTGTTTGTTTTAGATACGCTGGTCTGAATTAGTGGAGATAAAGTTTAATGGAGGCCATTTGTTTTACTCAGGTCAACAAAAGCACATTAGCTGTCTAACTGCTTAATGGCACAACAATTCTATCGGGTGTGCATTTATACTGCAGCACTAATCATTTGGGACTGAATTCAAAAGCTCTGAAGTGCTTCTATCCTTCCACAACCATTTCAAATCATTTTCTTGCATTTGGTCGTTTGCTGTAAAGACCAATTTAGAGTTTCTCCATGCAAGGGATGGTGAATATACAGTTTTATCCGAATGTATTTGCACTCCTGGTAACAATGTATTAAAAGCTTTAAAATGTATGCATAATCTATTGTGGAATCTTACACAGATCCTTCAGAACAAAAAAAATAAAAAATAAAAAAAATAAACAGTAACAATAGCCATCAGGCATTTGAGGTGAATGGTAAACAAGCTGTGGAGAAATTTTGGCTTATATAGAATTATTTTTAATCACCATATGAGGGTTTTCAACCACAAACATCCTGTTTATTGTCCCAAAACTATTTAAAAGTATAGTGGAGGATTTTCAGAAATTTTTGAAAAGACTTGCCCTCTCCACTTAAAAAAAAAAAAAAAAATCACATGCACAACCCTGTACCCGCTCCAGAGGGGGATCGCCTAGTGAATGCATGCAAGAGCATGCATGAGCCCATTTCTCCTTGTGCATGCTCTGTTTAAAAGTTGCTGTTTGCATCGCTCATACAAGCTTACTTTCCAAAATAAGATTTGAAATTTTTCCACTATGTCAGACTCACCACTGGCAAGTGAAAATGGGGACGGGCATGTAGGACGGCTTTACGTAAACATATCAACAGAATGATTGACAATTAGGGGGACCACCTATTTTGATGATCCACCCGGAAAAAGAACATTCTCCACTAAACTTTTAACTTTGATAGAGGATCACTCCATGAACATGATTTTTATACTTGTTTTTGTTAATAGTTTCTACCCATACAGAGGTTAACCTACTGTAATAACTATCCTCCATCAGAACCAAAGCATGTTTAAGCTGAAGGTGATGAACTGAAAACTAAACTATCTGCTTTCGAATTTCACAAGCAAAGAAGGGAAAAATTCCAGCCCAGATTGTGCGTGAGAAAGAAAACAAACAGGTGATTATTTTTAGATCCAACAGAAATAATTTCAAATGATAAGAACAGTAAAGACTACAACTATTCATGTTGTTCACTACTAATAATATATAAAGAGCAAAATAAATGTTTCCTGTAAAATATTTATAGAAATAAGCTGTTAGTATTTTTTAATTTTTTTATTTATCTTTTTTCACCATATACTTCTGTTTATCGATTATCTCTTCTCTGCTCGCTGTTTTGGCTTCTCTGTTTCAGTGTTCATGTGTTTTTGCTGTGCTTTTAAATAGAACAAACTCACTTATTATAGCTGATATAGGCGATATCCACTGTACATTTGAACTGGGATTTCTGTTTGTAAGCCTTTAGCAAACACACTCTCCTATCTCTTTCTGTTTGCACACAAATCTACTTACCCAAGAGTCGAAGAATGTTTGGATGGTCAAACTCGGCCATAAGCGCTGCCTCCCTCTGAAAGTCGTTCTGCATATCGGCAGAAGCCTCCTCTTTCAGCATCTTCACAGCCACCATCGTAAAAGGCTCCGTCGGCAGGAGGCCCGGTGCTCTGAAAGCAATGTAAAATGCACAAAACATTTCTTTGGGTTCCAAAAAGATACATTTAGCATTTAGTGTTTTCCCTTTCTAAATCCAGAGTCCTCCAATTGTAGCAGTTTGGCATTTGCAAAAAAAAAGTGCCTTAAACACAGTCTAGTTCACATCTTATTGCACCCTATATTTTCCATTTTGCTCCTATAAGTTTTTTGTTGATGCACTGTAAAATAAGTATCCAAAAGTGCTCCAATGTTGCGTATGATTTATTTAAAATTTGTATCGTATTGTAAGGAATTCATTAACCTTTATGTTCAGGACCAGTTTACATTTTTATCTCAAACTAGACAGATATAACATTAATTGACCTCCAGCTCACTGAGGTTCTTTATCGGAATCACAAAACCACATTTCCTTTCACAAGATTAAGGTCTTACAGTTACGGATTGGCAAGGCCTAAAGTGTTTTGTTTGTATTTTTTGGTTGATGTATGTTTTTATTTTGTTTTTTGCTTGATTTGATTGCCATGTTTTCCCCCTATAACAGCTTTTTAAATATAGTGCAGAAAGTGCAAGGAAGTAAAGGAATTCCTAAGACTAAAGGTGGTTGTCCTACTTTCTTACTGATCTCTATGGGTTAATTACAGATAATCAATTTGCATCATTGTTTATTATTATTATTATTTTTGTTCATATTAAATTAGTTTGTATGGAAGAGATGTTCTGAAAGCCTTTAGTACTATAATGCATTTAAAATCATTAACCGCTTAAAGAGGAACAAAAGCTATAAATAAAAATGTAACACCTTAGATACAGAACCAAATGTGAAAACAGCTTTTTCTTTTTATACATTTGCTGATCAATAGACATGAGCACAGCCTTTCTTTACACCCAAAGCCCAGTGTGCATACTCCGTACAGTCTATGCTCTTTATTAGATAGTTGAGGCTATCCCTCTAGCTATAAAAAAGAAATTAAATAGAAAAATAAAAACAATCCAACCATATAAGAGCTATTAAATTGTAGACACAGGATGTGGTTTCTTGGTTAAAGACATTTTAGTCCATTTCTATTTCCTGGCAGGGGTGCTGCTTAGCTCCAACACATGCTTTATTTCAATGATTTGTTTTTTTCTATTTAATATGGGCTGAGTGGTAAGATTTGTTTTCCACTCTTTTCTAGCTGATGCTTTTTAATACTTAACACTGTGCACTAAGAGGTAAATTGTGAAACAGTTCCGGGAACTGTGATGTTTTGTACTACGGTAAGATAGTCCAAAATAAACTGTAAGGAAGATATTTCATACAGATTCTGATGCAGTCAGTATGCATATGTTTTTGCGATGCTATCAGTGATTCCAGTTTCTTGCTAATGTGCATATCTACCACATCCTATAGCTGGACTGGGCCTGAGGACCTACATATAGGCTCTTCGTGGGATCTACAGATTTGACCCCTAAATACAGCATCATGTAAAGTTCTGTCTATTCTGACATATTTTAAGTCAAACTAGCACTAAATTCTTCAACAATAGCAGCTAAACTAGTTTAGCTTTAGTATAAAACAAAACGGTCAGCCTTTAGAAAATAGCCACTGCAGATGAGTAATACCAAAAATGATGTGTAGCTTTTGGTTTCCATGACCCAGTCATCAACCCATTAGTTTATGACACTTGGCAAACACGTTCTATCCCCAAGCTTGTTAATTTTGACTCTTAAACATCAGCTCTGAAACCTCATTGCTCAATCACGGTTTGTCCTACTCAGTAAGCTGCACTTTTATGTGTTATAAACATCAGATTTTTAAACACCCATTGGTCTTGAGTAAGAAATTGTAGGATTTTTTTATTATTATTATTATTATTATTATTAAAGCACTGTTTAATAACAACTGTCATGTGTAGGAACTTCACCAAAAATCAACAGATCAAATTTAGTCTAATAATATGGACAAATCCAAAGCTACTTATATCCTAATTCAATTAAATCCTATGTTAAAGATGGATTAGACATTAGCTTCCTTTGCCAATACTGTAAAAGTGGACCTTTGATGTAATTAAGCCACTACTTTGACAGCAATTTCTGATACCTAGAACTCTCTGATAACTCTCAAATCTCTCATACCTCTAATAAATAACACAGACTACATATTAGGGGCTTATGTATTGGAAAGAAGGTGCTTTTTTGCATTTTTAATTTTATTCCTGGCTTCAATATTTGAGGGATTTCAGGCAGTATGCTTTATCAAGTAGTTTTCTATAATAAACAGTAACTAATATGGAATAAGGCAGATGGCAGTGACTTGCCTTTAAATGGAGCTAAATCTATTTTAGTTTTTAATAGAGCACACAGGTACAGCTCTGGCATTGTTGACAAATCAGCTGTTGGCAGATTTATGTTGCTGTGGGAATGCCACATGACTCAGTTTTAGTGTTTAGTCTCGTGAAAGAAATGAATGTGAGTTGTTGTGTCCTGCTGTGATAGAGTTCAAGGTAACAAGAAGGTAACTATCTCTTGCACAATAACGCCCCCCCTTGTGACTTTGTGAATGACACATGTTTCCAGAAATAACCAGTAGTCTTGTTCAGGTATGATATAGCCTTCAAACCTTTTCTCTTTCCTCTGACAAAAAAAAAAAAAGTCACAGTTTTGACCCTTGATCTGTCGCCTAGAAAAAACAATTGACCTTTTTTTATTATTATTTTTTTTTTTCTCGTTGATCAACCTCTCTTACCTGGCTTGAAAAACGCGTCCAAAAGCTCCTTCCCCAATATCTCTGACATATTGGATGTTGTTTCGCGGGTACTCGAGGGCCAGCAGCTTTGAGTTCAGAAGCAAAGGAACTCTCTGGTACATGGGATTGGGATGGAGTCTATCCAACAACAGTTCAGATGGAAGAGCACTCAATTTTGCGGTTCCAATCTCTCTTCTGACAGAAATAAAAGACACATGGCAAAAATATGATAAAGCATAAAAGCATATTTCAAGTCTCCTGTCATTCCCTTTAGATTTCTCTACCTCTTGCGGTTCCTCCAATGCTTCCGTCGCCTGTGGCAGCCAAGGATGATAATTGTGAGAAAGACTGCAGTTGCCATTGAGGTCAGGACAATAACAATGACAGACATTGAGTAGGCAGGCGATGATGATGTCGATGTGGGAGGGGGACGAGGAATCTGATCAGGCACTATCAGCTCCGGCTTCTTAACTATCAGAAACAGTAGAAGGAAAGTCAAAAACCTATGTACACAGCCAGTAAGATGTAACTACAGTATCAATTTTACGGTCATTTCATTATTGAATCATCTTGAGCTTGAAATGTTCTAAATAGATTTACATGTGACCTGGTGATATGGAGAAAATGGAAGGTTAGAAATGTAATGAGTTGAGCAAAAGCACCTGGAGCTGTGTTTGTCTGCCCACACTGGGGCACAGCACAGTACTCCCAGCGTATATTAGGATCTGAGGTGTAACACCAGGGTTTGTCGCTGATTCCTCCAGGATTTCTACAGTAGTTATCTGCGTTCATCAACTCTGGAATGACATCCACAGATAGACGGTGCTGGTGGGGAATCTACAAAACAAAACATATACGGTGAGCAGAGACAGAAAATCCAAATGACATATTATTAACCATCATAGTATGAAAAACATACTAAACATAGAACCCTATATTTTCAGAAAATTCCATATTGTAACTCAGCAACCACAGGGCAGAAAGTCATCCATTGGGGTTGTTTTGACTTTCTATGCTGAGGGGGCAATTTGATCTGCCAACTCAAATATCCCTTTGTGCAATAATCATCAGGAAGCAACAGTCAAATGTCTCCCAAAGGACACGTTGCTATGAGCTGAGAATTTTGGATTTTAAAATGCTTTTGTATTGCAAAACGTTTGATGTAAATCCCTTACAGGACTGTCTTGTTCCACAAGAAATATTACAAATAACGAGCCATCTAAGCAAAGGAATAATATGGTCATGTCTCTTAGTAGAGTAAAGGACTCGGTTTTCATCATCTGATTCCATCCATCTCTCAATTTGTAACAATCTTTGCACTTCAGATGTTTTGAAGCAATCTAAGATTATTAAAACTTACTTAACATGATATTTTCCTGAGAGGAATTTCCTATGAGCATATTGCTATGGTTTTCACACGACTAAAACAAAGGTAATGCAGCGATTTATTGGCTTTTTCCAGTTAGGTTAGTTTAGTCATGCAGCATGATGTCATAAACATCTTTAGAAAGTGTTGTAATCTTACCACATTACCCAGCTTGTATTGCACTACAATAGCTGTAAACTAGTCTGTAAAATAATACTGAGCACTTAAGAAAAAAGGAAGCTGAATGCTTCAGTTTCCTTAAGATGCAATTAATGACCATCTATCTCATTTTATTGGCCTTTTTAGTGTAACAGTTGTCTGGGTGATTCATTAGATCTGCCATCAGAATAAGGAGAAATTTGTCATATTTTCCACCTCTGTTGAGTGACACAGACTCGACCACATGCCAGTTTTTGGCCTTTTGACCCAGGCCAAAAAGAGTTTTCTTTTTTTTTTAAGGCTAAAAAGATAGTATCCCACTGTGCATGGATCACATCCCTCAACAGGAGAAATATTAAATTAAATTTCACTTCAAATGGTAAACACCGGTCAAGCGTATAAGTTTACATTTTTTATAGTGTTTCAATAAGACAGAGGTCCTTAACAGAGGGTCCGCGACCCCTAGGGGGTCCACAGAGGTACTGCATAGGGGTTGCAAAAGTTTTGGTTGATACGACTTTTTTTTATATTCCCCCTGCAATTTTTTCCACTAATTGAAATGTCTTTAAATATAGGTTAACATGAATCCAAAACACTGTAATAAACAGATAAATGGAGGCAGAAGATGTCTTTCAGTCGTTAATGCACACATTCAGCGACACACAGGAGCTCTTTCAAGCTGGGCACCATTTCATTCACAACACCTGTCCCATCAATGAGGAATCGGAATCAGAAATACCGTACTTTAATAATCCCAGGGCGGAATTACTTTTGTTACATTACTTCATCTGTAATAGAGTGACTATAGAACCAGTTTGATATAACTCAATTTCATACAATATATATAATTAGGGGGTGCCAGCTCCATCTCGCCATCAGTTTGGGGATCCTGGGCCTGGAAAACGTTGAAGACCGCTGCACTAAGGAGTTTGCTTGTTGCAAAATATATTAATTTTGAAGAGTAGGGGACAATTAAAATGCTAGAGAAAGAGAAAATAAAGGCTGCTGCGTTTTGTTCTGACATTGTAAATATGATGGAAATAGTATCTATCATAGAAACTCACCTTGATGAACTGACATTGCTATTGTTTCTTTTTCTCTAAATCAAACTGCATATCTCTAAGACATTGAATAGGATGAAGTTAGTCTTCTGTGTTTTAGGAAACTACTTTAAAATGAGAAATAACCAATAAGATCAAAACATATTCGTGTAGTTTTACAACTAACATGCACCCAGCAGAAAATAACCCAAAAATGCATGCATGTTGTATTACATATGCAGCATGATACAGAAAATGGGATAAAGCTACATTTGGTTTTAAAAGAATATCTCAATATGATTTGAAGTTAATTTTATCTATTTATTTTCTAATTTGTCACTGAATTCTTGTTAAATTTACAAAGTTATATTAATGACATGATATTATATTTAAATTCTGAGATAAATGTAAAGAACTGACTGAACTTTAACTGACTTTGACTAACAAAGCTGACATGCAGCTAGGTGTGACCAGCCAACATCACAGGATCCAGAAATTAGGGAAAATGAAACAACGCAAAGGGAAAGAGAGAAAGAGGGAGGAGAAGAAAATAGGAAAAACTATCTAATTCAGAAGATTGATGGCACAGTCTCTTTCACAAAAAAACATATTAGCAGTGCATGTTTATAAGCTCAGTTTAAAATCACACAAAAAAGATCTGACGCAAAGTTCAAACAAGCTCCTTCTGAAGCAAGTGGACATTATATACAATTTCTAATTAAGTTAAAAGTACTGTAGCACAATTTAAATAATACTTTACTGGTTGATTGCCTCAGGAAGACAGTGGTGTGGGCTTCCACTTCAGCTCGTGGAGCATACCTATAAGCTTAGTTAGAGGAAAAAGTCAAAAGCAGACTATTGTGGTTTTCGTTGGGTGGCATGCAGTGTTGGTTCTCAGCTGTGGCTTTGACAGCGGTTCTCAACTATAAAATGAAGAAGAGCAGGCTGCTGCATTTCATATCTGAGCACAGCAAATCCTATTCTTAGATTTTCAGTGATGACCAGACTCTTTTGTTCTTGGGCTAAAGCTGCAGTGGCTCAACTGTTCCCCCATCAAAATGTGCCACGTCTCTGAAACTCTGTGAAAGTATCAGGTGCTGCCAAATCCTTTTTGTCAAGAAAATCTGCCGCAATTCTTTTTTTTTTCTTCAGGGGTTTTTCCCCTGAAAAGTTCTGTATTTACCAATATCTATCTTCCCAACATAAAGTATGATATTGGCAACAAAATATTTCACTATGGAGATGGTGTGTCCAGGCTAAAGTATGTCATTTGTTTTCCTTTACAGTTAGCATTTGGCATTCTTCTAAATGCTTTGTCCTCTGCGTGACATGTGGAAAACACTGACTTTCAGACACTTTTATGTAAAAGTCAGATTTATAGAGTGTAGGACCAACAGAGGTACTGTTTACGTAACTTTATATGTAAAAGGGTTTTGGATGTATGTGAAGGAAGGAAATTTTGAGGAATCTGGGAACACTAGTTCCAAGCAGGAAAGGGTTACAGTGAATAAACCAGCATCTGAGATATATTAGATGGCAATTGTTACCTGAGTTTAGCAGACATATATCTTCCAATGTGAACGGATATAACATTCCCTGCTATGTGTATGTAATAGAGAGAGATTGTACTGGAGTCTGTTTACCATATGCGTGTGAAAGGTAATTGCTTCCAGAGGCAGGATGTGACATAAGATGCTTCTCCCTCTCTGCTGACCTGGCACAAACACACTCTCACACACACAATTCAATTCAGTTTTCAATTCAGTTTATTTATATAGCGCCAAATTCACAACACATGTCATCTCAAGGCACTTTACAGTTCAACCAGATCATACAGTCAAATTGATACAAAGTTTTCTATCTAAGGAAAACCAGTTGATTGCATTGACTCATTGACTCAAATACAATCCCTCACACTAAGCATGCTTGTAGCGACAGTGGAGAGGAAAAACTCCCTTTTAACAGGAAGACACACACACACCCCTGAACAGGAGGGTAGTAACAGTTCACCCAAAAAGACCCTCTGAGTAAGGAAAGCCATAAAAACATAGAGAGGCTTTTGGGCTGCAGGGAGTGTGTTTGTGTTTAACCCATGTATGCCTGTCCAAGAGCTTTTCCATTTGCGTTTATCAGCGTGTCAGTTTCTGTGTAAAAATCTGGAACATTTGATCAAAAACTTATCTAATCATCTTCAAAAATATGCTAGCTTTGAAACTCAAAAATCTCAGCCATCACTCTCCTAACAGTTTATCCACAAAGGGTATTTCGTAAAGAGCAGGTTTGAGGAGATTGGAAGAATTCTGTCTTGTACTTGGTATGTCAGCCTATAACTTGTTTTACTTATAGAATATTAAGTCAGAATTTTAACATGCAATGAATCAGGTGTTTTTTAATCAATGCACCTCTTGTCTATACTACAAAATGATTAAATAATAACTTGAGAGCTTAATAAAAGGAACCTGACAGTTTGTTTTGATTATGATGGATATCTGACCCAACCTCAGATTCATGGAGAGCAGTGTGGTTATAAATCAAGCTATTGGAGAGTGGACTGGATCTTTACCCTTGCAGATGTGCTGAAGAGACCATGGGAATTTATTTGTTCAGTCCCACATGTTTTGAGGGACTTGGGAAGGCTTACGACCCTCCCTGCAGAGGTCTTTTATGAGTAAGGGAGGACAGGATCTGGGGATGTGTTGGAGTTTTGTGAACTTCCATATAATTATTCCCTTAGCTGTTGTATAAAGATGTCATACCATTCTTAGTTTAGCAGTGATAAAAAATTGTCCTTCTTAATAATCATTATGCCAACTAGCAATCTCTTAGGAAGTAGACACTTTGCTTGAGCTGAAGTTAGCAGTTTGAAACAAATCAAATTAAAACCCTTTGTATCAGTTAGATATACAGTAGCAGCCATTCAAAATGGCCCTTCCCAGTCAAACGCCAACCGAACGGCAGCCCACTTCCCTCTAACACCCAGCGAAATCCCCTCCAACTTCCAGCCACTGGAGTGAACCTCTCTTGCATATTTTTTTTTTTACTTTGACTCAACCCTTTCCCTGAATTACAGGGTCTGACCAGGAGATGTCGCTTCTCTTTAGATCTTAATGTCCACAAATCATGACAGAAAGAATATTTTAGCAGAAATCTTGATGTTTAAAAAGCAATTGTAGGGGACCAGTCAAGGACCCATCAAGGAAAGTGGGGAAATTTTGAATGGCTACTACTGCAACTCTATATTAGTAGATCTTAAAAGCTGTCAATTTCAAACGAAATAATTCTTACAAATGACACTGTTCTTCAGCTGAAAAACATTCATGTCTCTACCTGGAGTTTTCTTGTCTAATTCTCGTATGTAGCAAACAAAAACAAAAAACAGTATTTAGTGTGGTATACCTGTTGGTTCCATGGTTGACACTGTATTCCAGATCTTGTCATATTGACACTGCCTTGGTAGAAACGACCTCTGCCGTTGTAACATGTTTCTGTTTTAAATCAAAGAAGACTTTGGTACATTTATGTAAATGTTGATTTATTTCTTGCTGGATTTCTCTTCTGGCTTCTCTATTAATACTTACTTGTTATCTGATCTTTTTGTAAATCTGCAAGAAACAAAAACAAATCTAATGTTAAGTGAAAACAACTGGCAATTCATTGTGACGAAGTACAAAAAAGAAGTATTAGTAAAACACTGATTGTTAAAAGAGAAATTCAGATGTGTTGAAGAAGGGATGCATACCAAAGCTGCAGGATATTGGCACTCAGGGACCAAGGTGGCCTTTCCCTGGTATAAGGGGTTATATTATCTGCTTGAATTTTTTTCTCCAAAAAAAGTGTATGATGGCATATTTTCTTAAACAGCATTACTTATCTCTCTGTTATTCTGATGACACTTAAAGGTATAGTGGAGAATGTTCTTTTTCCAGGTTGATCATCAAAATAAGTGGTCCTCCTAATTGTCAATCATTGTGGCGATTTGTTTACGTAAGGCTGTCCTACATGCTCGTCCCAGCTATCTTAACGCTGGTGAGTCTAACATAGTGGAAAGTTTGTAAATTTCCTTTTGGAAAGTAAGCTTGTTTCATGCAAACAGAAACTTTTAAACAGAGCATGCATGAGGAAAAAACGTCTCAAGCACCTCTTGCACGCGTTTAATAGGTGTGGACAGCGCAGGTCTTTACAAAAATTTGCGAAAATCCGCCAAGATACTTTTAAGTATATATTTAACCTCAAAGATTCTATTTTGGGATCAATAAAATATTTGAATTGAACGGACCCTTGAAAACTCACAGCTATGATTTATCTTACCTACAAAGGGAATATATGTACAGCCATTGGCATCAGTGCGGAGACTTGGTAAGGCCTGACAATTGGGTAAGAGTGAAGTGAAAGTTTGGGACCCTGTGACTGAACTCAGAAGTCCAGCTTCGACCAAACCAGTCCCCTGCAGTGTCAACCACTCCTTATGGCAGTAGAGCTCCTTCACTGCCAGGCAGTGTTCTCTATTTGAATAGTAAAGAAATAAATTATGATTCGACACTCTATATGCATTAACTGGTGCTTCCTCCACTCTAATTTAGAAACAATCCAAAGGAAAATCGACAAAAAAGATGACGTCATCTTACCTGCAGACCGGTTTAGGTGTAGATCCCACACCTGATGGGTTGCATTCAGGGAAGGCAGAGTGGCACAGCAGTGAACGTGCAGCTGGGCTACACAGCCCGCTGAGGCCTTCCAGTTCAGCCAACCAGCTCTGAACCAGGTATTCCTGCATCTCCTCGGGGTCCAGTAGGGAGGAGTTGAAGAAAACCAGGGAATCTTCTTGGAGAATTCTGCGACATACGTCTCCACGATATGCGCTGCAGTAGCCTGTGATGGCTTTTTGCTTGCCTGGTATCTGTTGTTGATGATGTCTGTCAACGGAGACACAGAGCACTTTAAACTAATGTAACCCCTTTTTGATCCTATACTACTTTCCCAGATTGGGGGTCCAAAACAAATCATGATATACATCAGATGTAACATTTATTTAATCATGTATCTATTCAAATAAATATATAATATACAATTGAATGATAAAATATCTAATTTTTTTCATTTATTCAAATAAATAAAAAAAATGGGGGCTGCATAGAGAAATAGTGGGTAGCACTGCTGCCTTGCAGCAAGAAGTTTCAGGGTCAATTCCTGGCCCGGGGTCTTTCTGCAAAGAGTTTGCATGTTCTCTCTGTGCATGTGTGGGTTCTCCCCGGGTACTCCGGCTTCCTCCCACAGTCCAAAAACATGACTGTTAGGTTAATTGGCTTCTCTAAATTCTCCTTAGGTGTGACTGTGTGCGTGAATGGTTGTTTGTCCTGTTTGTCTCTGTGTTGTATTTTTTAAGGGTCAGTGGCTGAAATGCTTAGGAACCCCTGCTATAGTATACATAAACACCAAAAATAGAAAAAATACAAATAGTTTTTTGTAAGTGTTTCAATTCCTTTTATCTATTATAGATAGATATTATTGTTTTAGATATGATATTATAAATCAAGTTAGCTGTATGGGAAAAATGTTTATTCATTTTTTGCAACAAAGCTGGGACCATCTTGTGGTTTATTTATTTTTTGGAGATAAGCCTTCAGTGCCTCAAATGTTTTTATTGTTTTTGTATTTTTCCCAACACTTAATTAAGTTGTTTTTTCTGTTCTCTGTTCTGTTCTGTTCTGAGTAGATTTGGAAGGCTAGGCTGGAAACAATCCTCACTTTCCTATATTTTCTATACTTGCTGATAATGACTCCAATTGAAGTCTACTTCAGATCAAAAACCTTAAAAAGAACTTTATAACCTACTCCTGAGTATAATAACTTAGTTTCCCATATGTCTCAGTCCATGATGAGCTGCTTTCTGAAATCCTTTTTTTAATTGTTTTCTTCACTTCACATGTTTATATTTGCCTTCCATTAAATTTGAACATCCAGGCTTTAGCATTCTCTAGCGCACTTAAAAAAAAGAACTGATGAGAAAAGAAATATGACTGCTTTTGGAGACAGTGACTAAAAATAAGAGTTTTTTTTTTTTTTTTTTTTTTTTACCTGAAGTATTTCTTTAGAATGATCCAGATGTTGATCATGATAGTGGCTGTGGAAGGTTTTCATAGATTGCATGGTGTCTGTTGGACTTCCTCATTGCATCATGAATGAACATCTGTCACATTTTATGAAAACTGGCCAGCCTGTGTACCAGACTTCCTGTATTCCTGTTTTGCTAATAGTCTGACTTTTCCTTCTCCATTGTCTGTTATTCCTCATGCATGGAAACACATTAACCCGGTCTGTCATTCTGGCTTCTCTGAATACCTGCATGCCAATGTAATTGCTGTCTTGCTCTCATTATGTTACAGTATTTTCAAATTCCAGATGTCACTTTTGATGGAGACTGATGCCTGTGCTAAGATATTGAATTGCAATTAGATGTAACCTTTTAACCTGTTTGTGACTTGCAATCCAATGTTCATTTTTTTTTCCTAAAGCAGTCACTTCCCATCACACTCTTGTTTTGTTGTTTTTTTCCACCAGCTAAATGTGTACCCTAATAAAGTCTATCAGTGCGACTTTGGTTGTCTGTTATTCTTCAAAGTTAAAATCTTACTAATGGGCTAATTAAATTGCCTTTACCAGATACCTGGCAGAGGGAGATTGCAGATGTATTACAATATAAGAATCACAAAAAGAGCAAACACTCTTAAAATAATGTAGCATTTATAGAAAAACATTGTCAAACATGAGGAAAATGTTTTATAATCCATTAATAATTGAGGAAATAGTCATCCAGTCTTCAAAAATGTCATCTAAGTATTGATAATATTACTTGAAAGACTTCAACATATGCAACATAACTAAAGTGCTTCACTTCATTTTGCTAATATCTATAAATAGACCAGTGATAGAAAAGTTAAAGATAATTACAGCTGTGCAGAATAAGTCTAAATGAAACCTTAAGTTTATATAAAAAAGTACTGAAACTTCAACTAGAACCCAATGCTTTTATTGTATGGCACTGAAATAATTAAAAATTAAACAAAAAAAATTTGTATCAAAGACTAACTATCTTGACAAGCATCGCTTTATCAGAAACAATTGTGTTTGAGGATCGTTTAACCTTTTGGACTGAGTATATTGCATAATGAACTCTTTAAAATACCCGAAAACCTTAAATAGAAATACTGGCCGAATTAGTCATATAAAAATGGTTTATCATTGGATCTTTAATAATTACCATTCAGTACCTAATAAACACAGGAAATGTTCACAATTTCTTAAGACAAAATAACTCTTTACCAATTCAGCTGAAATATAACAGTTAAATCCTCACCAATCTTCACTCATTTCAAGTTTATTAGATATACCTTCTTGATGCATATTTGTAGCAATTACCCAGAAAATATGTAAAAGAAGATCTGCTGAAGATCTGCTAAAGCTTTTATTTCCCTCTTGACAAAAAGGAGGTTGTACAAAGTATGAAAAGCATGAGTTTTTTATCACCTAATGAAGAAATGTACAGTTTGTAAGAGGTTGTTTTTTTCTACCGACTTAAGATATCTGAAAAAAAAGGTTGGAGTGTCTACAACATTCAGTAAAATAATGAAAGCAAAAAGCTTTTTTTCCACATATCTACCAGGAGTTCTGTTGATTATGAACACCCCTGTGTACATTATACAACACATTCAGCATAGAAGATAAAAAAGGGAACATAAAATACATCTGTCTTACCTCCAGTCTTTAGGAAAAAGGCAATATCCAGAGGAGGCAATTTGAATGAACCCAAGTAGAACAAGGAGAAAAAAGATGCAAGATGGATGGAAAAGACAAAGTTGACAAATCAGTTTGGATATTTTCAAGCAAATAACAGACATAGTGCTTTTCTCTTCAGGTCATATCTAAATGTGAGGGAATGAGGGACAACCAGGTTGAAACAGAGTTTGTATGCAGGTGTGGTTACTGTCATTAGAGGATGACTGCTGCCAGGATGTGTTTAAAAGCAAGAAGCAGCTGAAGCAACGTAAAGCACAACCAAATGGCAGCTAGCATAACACTAAGGAGCAGCTGGGCACAAACAGCCTATCACCAATAAAAATGATTCTACAAAACAGTTGTGTTGGTGTTTTGTTGCAGTAAGTAAACAGTTGGATGTAAAATTAGATTCTTTCCTGTTTTTTTACCTGTAACAATGACTGTGGCACTTTTTTTGACAGTATTTGTTCCACTGTTGTGCTTGTTGGAAGCCACACACGTGTACAAAGCTGACTTAGTTGCTGTTACTTTAAGAACAGACAGTATTACATCTCCCACCAGGGTTTCCTCCACTGAGGCACCAGACACCTGGAAATGAAATAACACAGAGATTAGAAAATTGATATCTGCTGCAGCTCATAGGAATTTTATACAAATATTTTTCATTTTCATCTTTTAGTTATACATTTGAAGTTATATCATGCTTAGACATCACAACACACACGGGCATGAAAAGCTAAATGATCAAATGTTCATGCATACATCTTTATTTATGTATAATAAAATATCCTTTAATAAGTTGGTTAAAATATGCTTTTCATATCAATCAAAAAACTTCTGGAAATGTTGTGACAGAAAAATGTAGAACCAACAAAACCAATCTGGTGGGTCAATATAACTAGAAATACGTTTCTACACCAATGGGGACTGAGATAGATATAACCCAAGGAATTCAATTTATTAATGCTTTACTTATACCAAAGGGAAATTAAATGTTCTTACACATAGGGTTTTGTTCTGCTGTATATTATATAAAGACTCTTGCTCATATATATATATATATATATATATATATATATATATATATATATATATATATATATATATATATATATATATATATATATATATATATATATATATTAGATATTAGATATTAGATATATATTAGATATACCGGTATATATATATATATATATATATATTATTATATATTATATATATATTATTATTATTATTATATATATATATATATATTAGAATCGGAAGAATCAAAGTTCAGGGATGTCGAAGCTTTTAGATTTTAATAAAACTCTGAAAACTTTTTGTGCTATTTAGATTTGTTTTATTATACATTCAAGTATGAAAAAACAGAAAAAGGAAGCAAACCGATTACATTGAGGTAAGTTTTTGGCCTTGCTACCAAGTTTACAGCTCTCCCAAACCTTACATGTTCTAAGTTGGAGACTGAAGCTGAGATATTAGAGTTCGAATAAAGAATGCAAAAAATGACAATGAAAAAGCAATTGTTATCCAATTTATTTTTAAACATAGAAACGTATCAGCATTTTAAAGATGCAATTTCTACATGCAATATCACAAAAAAAATTCTAATGAAGAGGACATACAAACTATGGCATTAAATTATTATCTAAGAATTGAAATATGAAATTTATTTTTAGATTTATATTTAGTAAAATGGATGAACATTCATTAGGCTAAGAAAACAACAGTAAATCTTAGCATTTACTTTTAGGGTTCATGATGACATATCATCATTTAAATAACTACAACGTGACCAACGATAATATATTTATGTAAACAATGAGCATGTTGATCATTAAGTTTCTGCTTTCAAACTTCACCACAAAAATATGTATGTATAATATGTAGATATGTATAAGCGAGTGGGTTTAGGCTATGTGGCCTTGTCTATGTTTGAAGCTTTTCACGCTGCCTGTTTTAGGACATGGCCCCACTGATATTAATGGCTTAACAAGCTGCCAGGAAATCACCTCTCACAGTCATTTTAATCAGCACAAACACGCACGGACCCACATGCACAAACAAACCCAGTATTTACAACTATTACAGGCCTTCAATGTTATCATAGCCAGAATCAAAGGCTATAAAACATGTAGACAGCCTGTTATGTAACTCAACCATGATAGTTTGCATGAAAAAAGTCTGTGTCCTTTATGACAGCATGACTTTTACTAACATTCTATGTTAATCATAAACAAACAATATTACAAATACTGTATTTGTTAGACTTTGATTCTAAGAATAACCATGAAACTATCTGGGTCACTCATGACAAAATCCTTATATCACTCATCTATTTAGTAAGAGCAACTTAATCAAACCTGATAATAATGTGTATAATTAGATAAGTGTGAGGCAATCTCTTCAAACCTTTGTCACCATGATGAGAATCCCCTGCTGTTTATATCACTGATTCCACAGCCAGTCTGCAGCCTCGTTACAGTAACAGCTAAATGTGTGTATGTGAATACTTTGAGTAGACGGAGAAAGCAGTAGATGACAGGGACATTTCTGATAACGCTCTTGAAAGTAATGGATTTGATGTATGATCTTGTCCCAGTCATTGATCCCTAAAGGATTTACTTTTATTTTGTCACTTATTTTGTGACCTTAGGTACTTCAAATCTTGAAATCAATTACCAAAATGTGCCTTCTTTGTAGTGCTGCTCTCTAATCCTGCATGTACTGTTGGTTCTGACACAAATGGCGCCCTGGGCAAGCCTCTTTTCCATCACTCTCAAAGAAAAAAAAATGCTAAACTATAGAACAGAACAAGGGTTGCATCAGTCTCAGTCTGCATTTTAATGCTTACTGTAGAGTTATCCTGTTCAGGCAAAAGACCAGTCAAACAAATGTATCTGATAATCCTCTAAACAATGTAATACCCATGGGATTAAAGGATTAAAGACATTATAAGGTAATAATCAGATGCAAACTTCAAAGCGAAGATGTTTTCGGTGCAAGTCATCTTTGAAGAGAGTGAGGCTTTTTTAAATGATCTTGACAAAACAGTTTATATTTGGGATGATAAGCCAGTCAGGAGACAGCTTGTTATTCAAATGGCTTATCAGTATGCAAATAATTTAAATCATTTTATATAACCTTTATTGTCACATGATCTGCAGAAAAGTAAACAACCACTGAGGATTTTAGACCCATGCTGTACACCCCTATAAAGGAAGGGTTGAGTAACCTAATTTTATCCCATCAGTGGAGAACCAGAAGCTTATCTACCTCTACAATTGGTACTGCAGAAAAGGAAAATAAAATTAGATTTACTTTTGCAAAACCTTGCCAGGGTTTTCAATGTTTGCAAAATACTTTTGTGAGATTTAAAAAGTGCTGTTCAAGCCCCTTTGGTGGCTCCCTTTGATAGACGTCATTTCCCCTTAAAAGTACCGTAGGGGTGTAATTAATAATCGTTTTGTGTCGATCCAACAGCCGACGATCCGATGCATCGATACATCCACAAGAGAATCGATTTGTGTTTTTTTTTTTCCTCCGGTCTATTTTTATCCATTTGCTCCTGGCCGTAATTCTCCTCCCATGCTGCGGTGGCGCTAAACCTATTTTGCCCTCCTACGTCTTGAGCTGAGGTATTGCATTGCACTCATTGCACTGATTTTCTGCAGTATTTTTTGATGCAACTTTTCTACTTCTGTTATTTGCTGTTGTTTCTAAAAAAAAAAAAAATTGCATAACGATATCACAGCTTTCATTGATTTATTTCAAACTTGAAACTTTGTTTAGCCTGTAAGGTGTAAAAAAATGAAATAAAAAAATAACTGATTAATCGATTAATCTAATCGAATTGTGGTGTATTCTTGAGTATCGAAAATAATCCAATCAGGAAATCGATACTGAATCGAATCGCTATGATGGATGTGATTTACACCCCTACTTAATAGTAAACAGATTTATAATGTAATTTACTATGCTCATATTCTAACCTTTTAAACCTTTACCAAGGTTTTGGTAGAAAGCGTTTTCTCAACCATGGGTAATATTTCCATAAGAAACAACAAGACATCTCGTCTCTTATTTTAAGTTCCTCGTTTGTTTTATCAGATGTTAATATTGAGTGCCTGAATTCACATATTGTCTATTTAGTATTCTATTTAAAATGAATGAAATATGAAATAATAGCAAACACAGTTTTTTTTTTTACATATTTGTGAGTTTACGTCATTAATTTCACTATAGTACCTGGTAAAATTTCAAAATAAAGGTCTAAAATTTAGATTGCAGAGAAAAAAAATGAGATGCAACAACAACCAAAAAAAAAAAAATCACACATTTTCATTGTGTTTGGAAACATGCACAAAATAATATGGTTAGCTACTCACAACATTCCCATTTTCAAGCCAGGTGATGGTGGGAATAGGATTTCCAGTGGCATTGCACTCCAAGGTTACCTGGCTCCCATAATCTGCTCTTTTCTCTTTTGGAAAACGCAGGAGTCGTGCTGGAGCTGAGCAGATACACAAATACAGTGCTAGAGTCCTTCAAAACAAAACTCTAGAAAATACCTCACAGGGTTTAAACTCTTAAACTTGCTCATAAAACCAGAGAAAGTTAAACAATCAAATACATACTTTGTACTTCAATGGTGACAGGCTTTGAAAATGCCAAACCAAAGCTATTCCTGGCCACACAACGGTATACCCCTGCATCCTCCTTCTGGATCCTGTGAATTTTCAGTGCCCCATAATCAAGAATGGTAATGCGGTCACTGATCTGAAACAGATATATTTAAAATATATAACTGTATGGTATTCTAGGATGATATATTAATAAGATGTGACATTGTTATATTAGGCAGTGAGCTAATATCTTTTCATCAAAGTTGAAGTGAAAGTAGCATTAAGAATTGGTAAGCAAACATATTTTGAGTTTAATGGGAGCAGAATAATGAAAGTTAAATTATTGTTAAAGAACATCTCCAGAATATTCACTTGCAGTTTTGCAGTTATCCCAATAAACTGAAAGTGTTCAATTAAGCAGTAAAGGTGAAAAAAGCTAGCCAGTCATGGCTCACTGACAGCTCATTGAGCAAAGCCTGCTGCGTTTCTTCCTGGTTTCAATAAAACAAACTCAGCATGCATGGTGCATATTGTGCATATGGGGCTTTATGGCAGAGTAATCTGTTTTGATTTTGATTCCCAAGTTTCCCTGATCCTAATCCAACTGATTGTTTTTGATATATGCTTCAATATAGATCAGTCAGATCTGCCAAGACCACAGGTTGCACCTTCATGTGTGTAGTGGAGTCTATGATTGAAAAAGTTTGGGATATTGGAGAAGCAAAAGCGGGGTCAAACACAATATCAACAGGTCATCATAACATCACATGTAACCTTTTTTATTTTTTTATGCCTTAAAAGAAATAGAAGTGCCCTGGACTAGCGGTTTGTCCAGGTCGTATCCTGCCAACGTGATGGATGGATGGATGGATGGATGGATGGATGGATGGATGGATGGATGGATGGATGGATGGATGGATGGATGGATGGATGGATGGATGGATGGATGGATGGATGGATGGATGGATGGATGGATGGATGGATGGATGGAAATTGAAATGAAACAGACGTATCAGTTCAACAAACTTCTTTTCAGTTTGTACTATGTTTTTACTAAATTTCTCCCTTTTTAAACATTTTTTACTTCAGCTCTGAGAGATACACATGACTCACCATACTCTGTGACAAATGTTATCTAAACAGTTAAATTGTACCATGGTTTATAATTTATAAAAGTAGTTACCTTGATAAGCTCATCATCCTTAAGCCAAGTGATATCTGGTTTGGGGTTTCCAAGTGTAACACAGGGCAGCACTGCTTTAGACTCTATCAGTAAAGTTACATTGGTAGGTTGCCGTTTGATCTGTGGCTCTGATTTAGGAAAAAAAAAAACAGAAAAAAAAAACACAATTTTTAAATGTACAATATGTATTTCAATTATTTGAATTTTTTACCAGGTGCATAGACAAAGCTTACTCATTTTCAGTTGAAGTGCTCCGCAACTCCTTGCAGCTTCTCCAATGCCATTACTGGCAATGCAGCAGTACTCCCCGTTGTCTGAGTCTTTCACGTGAGGGATGATCAATATTTGGCCCTGTTCCTTAGTAAAGTATCGACTGTCATAGTACCTGGCAATAAGAAAATTAGTGTGGTATAAAGTAACCAATTTCAAATTTATTACAGTTTACGAATGTAAGCCATTTGTTTTAATACTTTATACAAAATGACTGAGACGTAAAAGATGAAGACAGAGCAGACAAAATTTTTAATCAATTATTCCTTTCATCGTCGGGAGTGGGGGTCGGTTGGGAGTTCATGAGATGAAGAAAGATGTTAAAGAAAGAGCTGAGCTCAAACTTTATAGCCAATTGATCTATAAATGTTCAACCCTCACCCACATTCATGACATTTAGAGCAGGACTGAACATACAAGATATTAGTTATAAAGGGCTGTACTGTTTATTGCTGCCCTTTCAGAATAACGGGGTTAAAACTAAAGTCACCTCCGCGCTGAAAAGGGTTAGCTGGATGATGGTTCTGATTCATAGATAAGAAACTTGCTTTACAGTGCACCTGTTTTTATTCTCATTGATACAGAACCAGGTAGTTAATTGAAACTCACAGAAGGGAAAATTCCCTTTCCCTCCCAACATTTCTTGGGACCCCTCTTGATGAGCTAAAGTGTTGATCTTAAATCATTTTTTTCACCTAAAAAAATTAAAATCTAATTGTTGCCACAATGCATAGAATTAGGCACATAGGAATGTAGACTGTGGGTCCCTCTGAGGAGCTCAGATAATCCCAGTACTGTGATAGAATGCCACCTGTGCAATAAATCCAGTTGAGATGTGTCCTCGGTGCTAAATATTCCTCAGTCAAATCTCTTTGGTATAAAAGCTAATAGTGGAAGAGACTGGGTACAAAAGCTATTCCTCCTCAAGGTTATTGGCCACGTTGTGAGTTGCTTCCTCTTCTGGTGATGTTCACAGTTTGCAGCGGTCACAACTTTTTGTGGTCAATCACTGCTCACCTCCAAACTTCATGTGGCCTTCAGATGAGCTTAATCTAGTGCATGAAGAGCTTTGTGGAATTGGTTTTAAAAGCTGAGCAGCTGCATTAAAGGCCAAAATCACCAAGTCGAAAGTGTCAGAGTAAACCACTGGTGTAAAGTACACAACAACCAGCGCAGTGGAGGCGCATTCTCTAAAGGGACAAGTTGGGCTTCTTGATCTGGCGATCTGATACAAGATTCTTGATTTTGCAGTTGCTGGGATAAGATCAATTGTTGAACTGTATAATGCCAAGTATAAGGTATAATGGTGAAGGGATGATGCTGTAGGATGTTGTTTAAGGAGATGAGCTTCTCCTCTCAGTTTTAGTTAAATGAAAAGACATTTTTACAACTCATGCTCCTATCTTTCTAAAAACAGATAACCCCTTCTTCTTCCAACATAATTGTGCACCAGTGTAGTGAGCAAGGTCCATAAAGACATGGATGAGAGGGACTGACTGGCCTGCGCAGGATCCTGACTTCACCCTGACATAACACTTTTAGGATGAATTAGAGATTGGGAGCCAAGCCTTCTTATCCAAAACCAGTGTAAGATCTTGAAAATGTGCTCATGAAAGACTGTTTAGAAATGTGCATACAATGTTCTAAATGTGACATCCTTTCCAGAAGAGTTGAAGCTGTAATAGCAGCAAAGGGTTGACCAACTTTATATTGAAATTCAGATGTCACTTAAATTCATAGGGCAGACAAGACAGGTGAGCAACAACTTTATCTAGATTTCTCTCCTGGACCTGTTGCTGCAGTAACTCAATTTTGTCTGAGATTAACATAACGGATGGTCCAATAATGGGTTAATTTGATATTAAGATAGTAATGTCAACATTTTATGTTTATTACTGCAAAAAACGATCTAGAAATAAGTTTAAAAAATGTCTTGTATTAAGTGTATTTACACTTAATTTAAGAAGTTAAGTAAGATTTTTTTTGCCAATGGAATTAGTATTTTTACTCTTAAAATAAGATAATAGGATAATATGCACTTCTAAGAAGATAATTCAATTGTTTTCTTCTTATTTGAAATGTAAACTGTCTTATCCTATTGGCAAAGGGTCTCACTTACCTCCTCAATTCAAGAAAAACGCACTTATTTTAAGAATAAAAAGACTTATTTAGATTTCAATTTTTGCAGTGATAATTTCAGATCATAATGATAACAGCTAAAGATTTTTGGGGAAGTATTCATGCTAGTTCGACCTTTGACCAGCGGACACCTAAATGTTAATACTAAAAGGCATAATTGCATTTTAGATACGGTAGATTCTAAAGCATTCTCTCTCTCTGTCAACACTTTTATGTGAATACAACATGTATATTTATTAAGACGTAACATTTTATTTAATGCTAAAAATTTGGATCATGTACCTTGGCGACCATTTTGGGTTTTTAGTAATACCTTGATTCTCATCAGTAACAAGTAACAAATATGGACATTAGCATAACTGTATTAACTCTGAAGTTCACCAAAGGCAAGTTTAAATAATTATGTTTGGCTCCTGCTCCATCAATGTCTGCAGAACTGTTTGTAGAAACTACTGTGGTAATATTTTCATTTTGAAGAATCCAGACTCTAGAAACAATAATTAGTTTTTCAATTGGATTTACGTAATTCACAGCGGCTGAAACCGGTAAATACCAACAAGTAAGTATAACAAACAAATCAGTACCATTATCAGTCATCTTAGTTTAATCCATTATTTGGATCTTACTGGTTGCCTTTATGGTAGAGTTGTGAATCAACAAATGTGGTAAAAATCATGTAAAAATCTAAACTCCACATAATTGTTCAGACTTAGGCTGCATTGAAATAGAAGACATTCTATTTAGGATCATATACAAAGAATGACCTTGATCTCGGTATAGGCCACTTGTATCTAAATCAGTTGCCCACTTTTTCATCCAGCTTTCAGAACTTAACTTGGATTATCTAATCCATTCATTCCCAAAGCGTCATGACCCCTCTTAGGGTCCTTGATCAACCAGTTTGAGGTCTTGAGCTGCTTGATGACAGAAATTAAACTAAACAATAAACATGTATGTTAAGTGCTTTAAAATATGAAAGTGTCACGAAGAATGAAAAATAAATAAATAAATAAATAAATAAATAAATAAATAAATAAATAAATAAATAAATAAATAAATAAATAAATAAATACTTGGGTGTTTATGCTGTTTGTAATATTATCAATGATTTGGAAGAAACATTCATAGACTTGACCAGTAGTTTGGATCATTAGTGGACCGTGGTATCATTTTAATGGTTCAGAAGCTGAAAGTTTGGGGACCTCCAATATAATCTTCATCGCATATGAATTTACTATTACTCGTGTTGCTTTCCTGTAAAACAATCAATACTAACAGCCATAGCCATGAGTTGAAACTAGTCCTGTCTCTGTTGCTCATATTTACCAATTCATGTGCAAATCACACCATGAATACACAGTTAGTTTAGCAGAGAATACCTTACATGTCCAATTATTGATTAAATAATCCATTCATTTATTCAAACTTACATGATTGGCTGATTATTTTTGGTCCATGTAATAGAAGCGCTAGGGCTTGACTCCACCTCACAGATGAAGGTGGCGTTGTGATCCAGAAGTACATCCACTGTTTCTAGCAAAGTGATGATACGAGGTGCTGGACAATGAAAGAGCACAGAAAACATTTAGTTAAACATCAAAATAAATGCATAAGAAAAACAGCGAGCAATACATTTGATTAAACAGCTGAAATTGATTCTCTACCACAGGGTTTTGCTACATCAGCATTAGGACATGTAAGAATGACTCCTCTTCATATCTTGATATGATGCTACTTTTCTGAGAAGAAAAAAAATACTGAATATTTTTGATTGACTAATAAATAATTTTATTAGTGGTTTGTTTAACTTTAATTTAGGATTAGACTTTTTCCAAAAACAAAATAGATAATGACCGTATAAAATTAACCCCATTCTGTGTGTATGAACTTATATAGGAAATAAACTGCTTGGGATTTTGCTCTCAAACAGATCCTAACTTGTATAAACAGTTTTAATCTTTATATTTATCGAACAATCAATTTGCATTTGTGCATTGATAATACAGACAAGCAAAGGTGGGCATGCTGGTATATAAAACTACTAGATAGATTAAATTATGTGTGAAATATAGATCGTCCTGTATTAGAGGATAAAGTACACCACCATCATTGCATTTTCTGCAATAGACTATAATAAATTTGAAAAAAAAAAAAGCTAACTTTAAGTATGTTTTTACTAAATGATCATAAGGCAAACATCTATGAGCCACTGTACAAATTTAAGAGATTTTGCAAAGAAAAATATTCAAGAACCCTTTCTAAGTATTCTGCAGCCATGTCAAATATTATAGGAAAAGACTATTTGGTGTGCTTTTGGAATAGAGGACAATGTACAAAGTATTAAAAGAAGCAGAGAAAATAATTGCTAATAGATGATTTTGAGTGGGAAAATATTTATTTTATGGACTTTTTTCTACCCAGAAAGATGCTTGTCGTTGTATACTTTCAGCGTTGTCATCTTACATTACCAAGTGTTAAGACAACAGTACTTTACCATATTAAAATTACTCAAAATAATAGACTTTTTTTCTGCATGTTGGTATTTTTGAAAAATGGCTTGTAGTTGTTTTATTCTAAGAAAAACTGAGAACTGCCTTTTACTCAACATTTTAAGATTTTATAGGTAAAGTCCACGCTATGTGACAAGCTTACCTTCCTGCATGCCAGGACACTTTTTTGTACAGCAGTTCCTGTGGATCAGCAGAAACAGAAAGACCACCTGTTCCCCTCTGCAGCTTGCATAGGTGCTCCACACTCTCTAAGCATGTATGCCAGCGAGCTCATGAACTGCTTGTGCCATCATTTGATATGTTGCTCATATCGCATGTCAATAATCCAGAGCTTCACCTACTGCTTCAACTAACCACATTAGCTGTGATGCAGTTGCCTTATATACAAGTGGACAGCTGTAAATCTGAACGTGTGATTCACCTGAGGCTTTCAGTTTCCTGTGTCACAAATTACTGACAGGATATCCCAAGTTGTTGGAAGGAAACTATTTCATCAGATTTTCACAATGTTGATGTAGACAACAAGTTCATTTTTCATGCAGGGTAAAAGGGTTAAGGCTGTAGTATCCTGTAATCCTTAAACTGTAGGACATCTTTAGGAAAAGACAAAAGACAGTCAAATGGTCTGGATTCTCCAAAGATTGTCACTTACCTTTCTGTGTGCTGTAAGCTGAGGTAACTAGAATCAACGGAAGCACAAATATTTGCACCAAGGTCTTCATTCTAGCTCCAGAATGATTATACTGAACAAAACATGGGTAGAAGAAGCAAAATAACCAACTGACAGCTAGATTCCCATAGCAGGTGACGAGGTGATCTCGCTGCTTTGCTGTGTGCCGGGGACAGCCATGAGCACTCTGAGATAAACATGAGGCAGCTCAGTCACTTGGTGTGTGTGTATGTGTGTCTTATAACTATGCGATGGACAGGAGCAGCTGTACAAGTACAGTCACTCTGATTTTGCAGCTTGAGCTCTGAAAGCACGCATGCACAGTGGTCAACAATACTGACAGTACACTTTTCATTAATCCCAAATAAGTTGAATGTGTACATTACAGCTTCCTTTCAGGTCTGTTTTTATCTCTACTAAAGAGAAACAGATCAAATTATTTAATACAGAAAATAAAACTACTTACAAATAACAAATTTAATATAATTAATTAGGAACTGACCAAAAACTGGACATCCGTACATTTTTTATTTATTTATTTATATATAAGTTTTCACACAAGCTTTTTTTTTGCAGCTCACAGCTTAACAAGCTGACATGTGCATACCCAGGATACACAGAATCCAGGAGACAGCCTTTGTGTCCACCTGTTGCCTGTCGGCCCGGACGTTCTGTTTTATTTTAAGAAAGGAATGACATTTCACTTCATTCATTGCTCATCCATTCTGTGACGGATGCACTCTACCATTGTAGTCCAACAGGAATTCTCTGTCTTCAAGTCTGTCATCTACTGTAGGGGTTAGGGGAATTCTTACAGTTTGAGGTGTGAGAAAGAGAGAAGAATGTATCAGAATATATGTATAAGAATAATTGCATTTATTTAAGAATGTGATGCTCTTTGCTTTATTATGTTCTTTGTTTTTGCAGAAAAGCTCCACTTAAAGCCACATTTACATTTACAGCCTCATTTGGACACTTTTGACATAGAATGGAATAGAATAGAAAATTTCTTTGTCATTAATATAACAATTAACTTGACAATAAATTTTCATTTATTATAAAAAGAAAAAACGTTGAAAACCAGTAAAAATAAATGCAAACTCAATAAACCAGAGGAACTCCATTTAAAGTAATCATTTAGTGTAAAAGTGACTTGAAATAAATCTATTTGTTCATGTTATTCATTAACCACTAGGTGGTGCTATGTGCAAAATTATAACTTTTCGTCTCTTTTTTAACCATCATCTAAGCAGAATAGCAAAATGGGCCATATCCCACTAACAGCACATAACACATAAATATAACAGCACTGTAACTAAAGATAAAGAAAAGAAAATGTAGACATTATCAAAGCAGATTTCTCTTCTAGAAGCTCTTACTTAGTTTTTGACCATTTTTGTTGGTGATCCTATGACTCCCTCTGCTGATGGAATAGTAGTAACTTAAGCAACCAGCATTAAAATGTACTATATAAATTCTGACACGTTTTAATGGCAAAAACGTCCAGTGTTAATGCATTTTTATGGACCATACTTTATTGTTTAATAAAAAAAATTGCAAGCTCAGGCAAGATTCTTCAAAGAATATCTTTGGGTCATTAGCTGTACTTGTACTCTTGTTTTACCTGCAGCTTTTAGAGGAACTTTTTTTTGTGAAAGCAAATGATCAATGAGCAGCAGTAAGAAGCACCCCACCTAACTAAGGAATGCAAGCTTTTAAAAAATGAGTGCTCAGCAAAGCATCCACCTTTTTATGATCTAGGTCTATCAGATCTTTTTGTTTTTAAGCATTTTTGCATCGACAGAGGGTTTTTGACAATACTTTTTTCCAACACTTGTCAAACAGAAGATTACTCTGTTAAAAGGTGAATCGACCTTTACTTCTTTTTTCAGATTTAAGGTTGAATGGCAACCTGGAGAGCAGAGCATTTGTGCTGAAGAGTAAGATCATTGATTTCAAACTAACACAATCAGTCTGGGTTCCGGAGAGAGGCCTTTAACCCCAGAGTATACCCAAGGCGTCACTAAGAGTGACAGCTCACTGTTCCCTAATGAATAGATTAAATATAGGTGACGGATTTCTTCATTGTGGCACAATGAAGGGATATTTCTTCATTCTCTTTATGCTAGACTATTTTTGTTGTGTTTAAAAACTTTCTGATTTAATACTGCAAAGAAGAAAGATTTTAAAGTTACAACTACTCATCAAACAAGCTCAGAATTCACATTGCACGGTAGCTTATGAAAGCTAATTCCGTTTGAGTTATGTCAATGAACTCTCAGAAAACTTTGTAATACTATAAAATATGCGCTGCTGCAAATCTGGAAGTCTCCTGTCCTGTTTGTAGACATTATTTCTCTCTCTCTCTTTCTCTCTCTCTTAGACACACACACAAAACAACACACACACCCATTCTAAAGTCAAGTCATATCTGGTGTCAGTCAGCCACTCCCTCTGAGCATTGTCTCAACGTGTTCTGCAATTATTAACCAGCTGCTCAGGGGTTGCTACACAGGCTTACCTCCTACAACACAAACTGTACTTCAGACCTTTGAATGCAAACACATGGACTAACATAAGACAGAAAAACATGTAGTGGAGATCCACTTTATTGTTTAGGAGATCATACAACAGACTGGACAGGTAGGAAGAACAAGCTTTCAATCTTTTTATTAAGACTGGTTTTGATGTGGTTAGTACTGAAAATATGTAGGATTGGTATCTTTTATGTGAGAGGAATGAATCGGCAGCTTTTTTTCCTTTCTTCCTATTAGAGAAAATAATTGTCGAGGGTTTCTACCAGCATTATTTTGACTTACATTTGGTTTGGTGAAGCAAAGACTAAATTACTATTAGGATTCAATTAAAAGAGCAAACCAGCTCACGTACAACATACAGGAAGGCAATAAGATGAGTTACTGGGTGGAAGCTGCCATGTTTTTTCTTAATAAAATGTTATTCCTCTCTTTTAAAGCTTTGGTCAATATTTAGTAGTAAAATATTTCCATTTCAAGTTTGTTTTGATCAAAAATATAATTGTATTTAAATTGGCTTTGTTTTTAGCACGATCTTGGCATGTTTTGCAATTGGATATTTAGTCTAGAAATTTAAGTCCAGACTGAAAGCTGTAATATTTATCCAATTATTTTTTTAAGTTTACTTATCTTTAAAAAAAAATTATTTTCCTGCTACAATGCATAAACCTTTACTATTTTGATCTCACCTTCAAGGTTTAATGAAAATGGTTTCTTTCAAGTCTTGTTCTTACCATATTAAAAGCAAAGTTACCAATAAAAAAAAGAATGTTTTGATTATAAATTCTATTTTCATCCATTCATCCATCCAACATCTTCTGGTTATTCCGTCAGAGTTATCTCCAGCAGTCAGTGGGTGAATGGTGGAACAGTTTATCACAATTCAACACAGAGATCCCCACCACACATAGGGGCAATTTAGAGATAACAGTTAACCTATCATTAATGTTTCTGGACTCTCAGAGAAAGTCAGAGTACCAGAAAAAACTCAAGCATGTACGGAGAGAACATGCAAACTCCACGCAAAGAGACCCTAGGCTGGGAATCAAACCCGGGACTTTTACGCTGCAAGACAACTGCACCACAGTACACTTTGTGGCACTGTTGTGCTAAACTGTGCAAATGATTACTGTTATTGTTATTATCCTTCGATCTTCTCCCTTTGATTCCATTAGGGTCACAGTGGGGCAGGTGCCTATATTGACAGGTCACCAATTTGTCGCAGGTCAAGACAGCGACACATCGAGACATACAGCCCTGCACACACACTCACACCTAAGGACAGATCAGACATCCCCAAAGTCAGTCCTCTAGGGCAGCTGTCCTGCAGGTTAAAGAGGTTTCCTTGCTCCAACACAGCTGATTTAATTGAAACCTGATTCACAGGTTTTCTCAACTCCAATCATCATAATCAGCTGTGCTAAAGCAGGGAAACCTCTAAAACCTGCAGGACAGCTGCCCTAGAGGACTGACTTTGGGGATGCCTGATCTAGAGGAACCAATATACCTAAAGTCATGTTTTCTGACTGTGGGAGGAACCTGTGCATGCATGCAGAGAAAATGCAAACTCCATGCAGAAAGATCCAGGGCCGGGAATCAAATCCAAAACCTTTATGCTGCAAGACAACAGTGCTTACAAACTGTGCCCTGTTATTATTATTATTATTATTATTATGCAATAAATCAGGTAGAGAATAAACTTCAGCAATGAGTTGCTCTAGTTGAATTAGACTGAATGTATGTTTAGCAGAAGTTAAGACTGACAGTCTCTCTGAACACTGGTAGAGTAATCCTATGTTGTGGGATGCATCTCTTAGGAAGGAACAGGCAAGCTGGACAGATTTAGGTAGATGTATTTATCAAAATGTCAGACAACTTTCCTTTAAAACAAAATAACAAAAACTGTTCAGCTTACAGAGGGACAACATAACTTCAATACCTTTGCTGAATTTGTAGAATGGATGAAACATACTATTTTATTCAAAAATATATATTTAACAGTTCTAAGATTAATAGTGTCAACATGAATTTAGATAACTTAAAAAATTAAAACTAATGACATTAAAGCACATTGAGGGAACTGTACTTCTGAGAACACAGAGGCTTTATGGTCCCCCCTGCTGGCGTTGAAGGTCTAAACAGCTGCTCAGTTCAAATGAAAAACCACAACTGAATACCTGAGATATGTGCTTCACTACAGCTAACAGGTTGAGGCAGATAAAATCTTGAAAGAAGAAAGGAAGTGTGCACTAAACTAACTGCTCCTGGTGTTACTTTTACAGGTTTAAGGAAAACAAAGAAAACAGAAAAGGAGCTAAAATATTTCAACAGTTGATGGTTGCAGTGGGACGCTTCGGGCGTCTGTAACCAAAATACAAACAAATGGTTTGCCCTACGCTGTCATCACTGGTTACTGGGTGGAGCACTGTTATTAAAACCCTTGGAAACATGCAGAAAAAAAGAAAGTGAAAGAGTAAAGAGAGAAGAGGATAAATATAACACTCAAACTTCAGAGAGAGAGAGAGAGAGAGAGAGAGAGAGAGAGAGAGAGAGAGAAGCTGGAAAAAGATTTCTCAAAACACAAAAAGAAAGAAACGGAGACAAAGACTTAAGAAGTTAGATTTTCATCGTTGGAGGAGGTAAGACTTTAATCATCTAGTTACATTTTAAAAAGAGTGATGCTGTGATTGTAGTATGAGAGCAGTAAAGGCAGGTTTAGCCATCATGTCTGACTTACTGTAAGGTCAACATAATGATGGACAATAATATTTGTTTAATGCACTCGAGACCAACAGTGTTTGCATCCTGCTTTACACTTTGGGATTTATCATGGCTGCTTTTCGTTTGTGGTGACATGTGATTGATCATTTTCTTTCTTTATCTGCAGTAGCTAAACAGAGATGAAGACAGTGTCTCCGCCTCCAGTGATCCAAGCAGGGGAAGGGAGGAAACTGTCCAGGTGATATTAACTTCAAATTTGTTTCTGCTCTGTTATTTGTTCTCTCTGTCTTTCTGATGTTTTATGATACATTTTAAAATTTCATACAAAGAAATAAATAAAAAGCATTCCTGCCTACAATCCCATGTATATGAATTCAGAAATTTCACTTTGTGTCAGTTAAAGCTACTGTTTGATGTGTTGACAAACACACATATAAATCAATTGGAACCCCCTGAAAAAAATGTATTTTTTTATAAATATAGTCCAGGGGCTTGTCATTCATCATGCTCAGGGGAATTTCTTTCTTTAGAAGGAATAGGTGAGCATTTATAGGTTCAGGTTAAGATAGATGAAACTAATGCATGCTAAAGAAAACATCCTGCACAACCCCAGGAACTGGATCAGATTTTTTTTCTATTCAGCAGTAAAAAATGGCTCTAAACATACAGGGATGCAATGAAGTAATTGCAAACACAGCAGGTACGCAGGAATGCCCTGTCAAAGTTTATACTCAATTCCAACTGAGTTTCATTTAGTGTGGAGCTGTGGGGAAAAAATGACATACAGTTGTGCTGCAAAGTTTAAATACCCAAATACCCCAAAACTGAAAAAGGTAATACATTTTTTACTGAATGATTATTTATTAAAATACAATATTGCTTTTTTCCCAAATCAATGTCATGATTTCAATTTCATTTATTTTATTTTATTTTTTATTATTATTACTTTTGTCATTCATTTGTCTTTAATCGGAGGGTATGTAAACTTTCAAGCACAACTGTAAATACTTTTGCAAGATACTGTGTATATGCATTGCCTTGTTTTTTTCTTTTCTTGAACAATGCAATTTATTCAATTATTCATTTTAGAGCTGAGTTTTTGTCCCTCTTGAACACCTACAACTGCTACCTAAAGGACCAGTCTCAGCTGCATCTCACCTATTTTCAGGTACCTTACAAACTGTTCTAAATTACTTCTGGCTTGTGCACAGTCTCAGTGGGACTAAATGAGGTCCAGGGTGTAATGTAAGCAACTTTTTCCATGTGTCTTTGTAATAGGGGGATGATGGAGAGGTGACAGTGGAGGGGTTCCTCAACATCTCTTGGGGAGTACGAAGACCAATCAGACTGAAAATACAGGATGATAAACAGATATTTCCCTTTGAGCCCCCGACTACAGCTGATCCCACCAGTCCAATCAGTCCTGTGGGCAGCACAAGGTTTTTTTTCATTTTGGTGTTTACAGAACTGTAAAAGCCGGAGATTTTTAAAGCCAATAATTTCACATGGAAAGTTAAAAACTTGGGATAAATGGAATCATTTCAGTTCTCTCTCTTTTCGCAGCACTATGTCCCGATGGGGAGAATACAGTGAGCTTAACCAGATAGATGAGATGGCAGAGATAGAGGCGGCACAGGAAACCGTCATCAAAGATCCTTTACCTGGTTAGTTTTTATTTTTTACACTAGTCTTTTACGTTGAATTAGCTAGTTCTTTCTTTTTTAAATGGAGTAAAATAAACTTTAAAGTTTAAAACAACGCTATTGAACAAAGTATTGAGCGTTAAAGATTTTTACAGTTTTATTTAAAATGTTTCATCATCAAACAAATATGATTGCAAACATGATCTGAGTAAATCTAAAAGGCAATTTACAAATTAAATCTTGTGAATTTATTCCCAAGTTAACCTTAAATGAAATGCAAAATTTGAGCTTATTACATGTTATGGGCTTAAAATAATGTAAATAAAGAAAATCATACATAATCCTAAATATAGAAGTGCTTTAAGAAGAAGATCAAAATGCGTGAATTCTGTGAAAATGTAATTTCAACTGCATCAACAAGGTTACAGAATGTAAAAGAATGAGTGGCTTTACTCAGTTTACTTTTGCCTAACCCTGCCAATTGCTTTAAATAAGAGCCAACATTTGTTTTTGTGGTTTAAAAAAAATCAGTCAAAATATTCTTCAGTAAAGTCAAATGAAAATAGCTCCATGGAATGGTTGCCATCAGTTGTCTCAATGTTTTCACATTTCAGGTCCTCCTGTTTATGAGACTGCCACTCTTCGTCCTGTGAGGCTTAGAAGCCACGAGCCGGAGCCGGAGTCCAACCTGGTTCGCTGCATGAGCGATGCCTCGCTGGTGAAGAGGAGGAGGGGAAAGGGAAAATCTGCAGCACAAAGGGAGAAAGAAAAACAACATCGCTTTTCTATCAACGGGCACTACTATAACTATAAAGTAGGTTCATGTTTATCAAGACATGAAGGAATCACAGCCTTAGGTTCTGTTAAAATGTTAAGAAAAATAATTATTTAATATTTTCCATTTTTTAAACTACTTTGTAGGTGTATTCATTAGGTTAAAATGTAGATTAGTTGGTCCTAAATAGTGGTGGTTTGATGATGCCAAAAGAGGGCCTTACTACTGAATTATTGGTTCATCATAAGGGCCAGAAGAGGATTGGTTTGGGGACCAGTTGATTTCAGCTCTACTTTTTTTTTTTGAAAGCTGTGGTTCTGGTGGCCCCTCCTGCCAAGACCTACAGCAGGCGCTGGGTTGGCTTAAATTGCAGCCGAGTGGAACCAAAGAGGAAAGTTTCTTGGGGTCTTGTTCACCAGGGATTACGTTTTTCAGGAGTAGGTATCATCAGAGATGATTAGGGCTGAATAAAGTCATTACTGGTTCTGAAAATGTAGTGATGGAAACATTTGAAAATTGGTGGGGTGGAATAGAGCCAGGCCAGAGCAGAGAAAGAACATTAATTTTCTCTTACTTATTCTAAACATCAGCACCACTGATAGCCCATTTCCTGAGTAAATACTCATTGGCCTGCTGTTTAAATACCAACCTGATGCAAACATAACTACGTAAAACTGTGTTAATTTAGCATAAAAATTGTTTTTTTTTTTAAGAATAAGAGGTATCTTTCTAGGTTTAATCCAACTAATCCAGCTTAATTTAGAAATTCAGACATAAAATGAATTATTTATGGAAGGAAGGATCTTAACTGCTCCTATTTGTATAAACATTTACCTTATGTTCTTAATAAAACCTGAGTCATACCTTCAGTGTTTCATTGCATTTTGCAGACGTCCATATTCACTCCCTCTTTTGGGACTTCGACTAAAGTTCGCATCTCTAGCAGGATGACCACAGACCAAGTCATCGAACAGCTGCTCAGCAAATTTAAGGTGATGTCTTTATACGATATTATTAGAGAAAGATTATACGACACATGTTTTCCCTTAGAAAATTGTAAAATACACAAATGATTCAATTATATAAGGATTCACTGTAAATATTTTGTAATACAGATAGAAAATAATCCCCAGGAGTTTGCACTGTACTGTGTTCACCAGAGTGGAGGTAGGGCGTTTAAGTTCATGCAGAAATCAATGAGTAAATGCAAAAATGGAAAACCCGTAAAGATGATCAAATGCTGATGTTTTGGCTAGAAAAGAAAAAGCTGAGTCAGCGAGACCATCCACTGTGGGAACGAATACTGCAGGGTCCCTCTGAAAACATCACCAAGATCTTCTTGATGGACATGCATGAAGAGGAAGTCAGCAATGATGTGAGTTAATTTTGGTCAATGGCTTTATTAAGTTAATTACTGTACTAAAACATCTGGACTAAACTCTGATTGACAGTGAACTGTTCCTTTCTGTTTTATACTTAACTATGCTTTATGAACATTTACTGCATTTTGTTTATAAGATCAAGATTTAAAATTTGGCACATAAGATACAGTACTCCCACGGTTTTGTCTCCAGTTAATGCATTTCTTAATGTTCCAAAGAACCTGAAAGGAGAATTCTTTAAAGGGAAAAATGCAAATTCAACCTGCTGCAGATCTGGACTGGTGAAAACAGGATTTTCTAGTGGATTACTCGGTCTGACTACCCTGTCACTTCCTCTAACATTAGTTGATTAAATGCTTTCATAAACTTTGCTGTCTGTCTTCTTAAATACCATCCTGTCTTTTATTGAAATGCATTTAATGTAGTCATTCAAGTTATAAACAAACATTGCATACATACTCCATCCCCTTCAGGACAAACACTTGAATGTTTTCTAATCCAGTGAAAAAGAAAAATCAAAGTCCAACTTTATAACTTTGCTGAGAGCAGGTGAATTCACATTTGCTTGTTTTGATTGATTGTTTTAGCTCCCAGATGATCTGATATGTTGTGGCTTCTTAAGTAAACTTCTGAGTAACTGAGAAACCACATAGAAAGGACATCAAGGCTACAATATAATGTTTTCTGATATTTTTTGGCCATTGATGCCTCTTTGAGAAAATAAAGTGGAATTTCCCTTTATTTGAATAGAGAATTAAGACTAAACTGCTGCCAGGATAGAAATTTATCAAAGATAAAAAAAATCGACAAAATAAACCTAGAACATTGGAAAAAAAACTAATTTGATTTTAGAATATGTTTTGTGCTAAAAATATTTAGATTTTATTCAGTTTCTTTTTTTCACATTTATTTCATTCTCCAGTTATATTTGGGTAACATTTTTTCAAACAAAATTAGTTTACCTCTCTCCTATTGTCAGGTGGCTCAGTATCTGAATCTGGAGCTCCCCATATTGGATCAGGTTCTTCTTCAACTCAAAGAGGAGGAAAACAGAGAGATCCAAAGGGTCATCAGCAAGTAAGAGAGAGATTTTATCTTTAAAAATCAGGGGGGGATGGGAAACTTAAAAGTTTCTACTTCGTCCCATTCCTTTTCGAACAATTTATTATGGTTTATGTATTCATTGTGTTGTGTTGTATTTACACATCTTATATTGTTTTGTTGTTCGAATAAACTGAACTGAACTGAACTGAAATCCCTAAGAAATAATTATACTACCTGTCCCTTTATAAACACATGAATATATCCCATTACATCTGTCACAGATTACCTTCAATATGTAGTAAGATCTGTTGACCTCTAGGTGGTGCCAGAAGTCAATCATTTCTATTTACTAGATGATATCTAATGACCATTTTTCTACATGTGTGTTTGTCTCAGGTACCAACATCAACACAGACTTCTGTCTCATATGCTGAACTTTAAGATGTCCCCTCACATAGAAACCAGTGTCTGACCATCTCTGAACTCAATTACTGAAAGGAAGAAAGACTGTCTATGGGGACCTTTTTCATTCATCACAAAATGTGGATCGTGATTAATATTTTTGGAATATATCAACAAAAACCATCACAAACAATACAGAAAATAATCCAGTTTCAAGTCCTACAGAAGGAATCAAATGTACCAATGATGTTTTGTTTGTTTTGTTTTACTGTGAATTATGCAATTGTAAATGTTGATGCCAATATGACTAAATCAGATGCCCACTGAATTAAAACATTGCTGGATGATATAACCTTTCATGTGTTGATGCATTTTTAAGTCAGGTTGATAAAGATTTGATATTTATTTATTAGTATTTATTAGATTAAATACCATAATAACTTTATTAGTAACCTGTCAATTTCCTACTAGTAGCTAATATTTACAACTTCCCTCTCAATACAATGATGCAACTTCCTGTTTGTGTTTTTTATTTTTTATATATCTATGTTGGTTTTTTATGTTTGTTTTGTTTTTTGACCCCAAAAGCTACTTTTCTGTCTCCTTATCTTTAGCTTCCTATCACATAACCTTACAATTTCAATGATGAATGATGGATTGTGTGAAGGGTAGTAATGGAAGGGAGCTAAATCATTTTAGGCAGATGTTGATTAGTTAATCATGTTATTCATATTATCTACACATGCACAAGCAGCTGTTTCATGCACAAATAGCCGACTGGGAGTGATTGTTTGGTACCTCCATCAATGTGGTGCCCCTGTGTGCACAGGTAGTGCATACCCCCGTTTTTGCTCCACATGGCTTGCAACAGTTTGCCACAGTTGCAGATAAAAATCTGAATGAAAACATTGAATTACAGCTGATTTACTTTACTGGGTTTTATTTAGACACCGTAAAACTGGGAAATATAAATTCAGGTTAGACCTATCAATTTGTTTTTAAATAAAATTTAGGTATGAGACAACAGTTGGATAACAAAGAATATAAAAACTTTTAAAACAAATGTCTGACATTATACTAAATGACACAAAAAACAACAAGTTGAAAACAAATTTACTAAACATTTGAGACGGAGTAGAAAGAACTGAGCTATTTTAAAGCATAAAGAAAGGCTTCCTGCCCAGACAACCTCACATTACTAAGCAGTGAGAACAGTTTTCCGCTAACATTTAAAATAAGTACATGAGAATTAATGTCCTTCAGTTGCTATAAAAACAGATTAAGTTTCCGTATGGACTCATAACCAATAGCGACGTGTCCTTTTGTCAGAAATGGAAAAATATGGGCTTCAATGGTGTGGCTCTCCAATAAAGACCCAGAGAGGCTGGTTTATAAGATAAAAATCTCAGTCGTTAAGTTTTATCAGTCTTTTAGCAGATAATCGTTCACAAATTAACCCTTTCTGAGCTAATTTTTATCTCATTAAATTTAAATCTATTTTTGTTTTTTAAAACTTATATACAATAATTATAACAACCCCTTGGAAACAGGTTAAGTTTTAAACTTCTTTCTTCACAGTACCCACAAAAATCAATATATTATTAAGGGATTACAAATTAAAGAGAAGCAAAATGTATCAGCAAAGCAGCATCATCTTATTAATGCAAAGGAGGAGGGGAAAGGGAAACCATGCATTTTGGTCGTCAGCAAACGATTCAGTACTTGTGCTGGTTGCTCATGTGAACGAAACTACTTTAAAATATGGAATATTATAAAAAGTAAGAAAAAGTCCAAAGGAGTTTTTCGAAGGCAGTATTTGTTAGCCACAGTGTTTTTTTCTCGTGATATATTTTCATAGCATGTTTTGCACTTTCTTGCACCATTTCCCAGCGGTGTAGAACAGAGTTGAAGGGATCTTGAAACATTCCTCTTTGCTTTGTGTCTTAAGATCCACCACAGTCCTGCATCCTCTTTTATCCTTTCTTCTCTTAATCCTATCTCACAAAATTTTTATAAGATTTAGGTCTTGGATCTTTGGTATCATGGAAGAGCACTCATATTGTGTATAATGTACCATTAAAGTGTCCATTTACAGTATATAAAAAAAATACCCTGCTAGATAATGCTCAACAATTTTGAGTCATCTAAAGAGGCCGGTAAATTGTGTAATTAAAAAGTCTTGGTTATTTTCAAATAGATCAGGGGTCCGTTTTATAAAGCAGGTTTTCTAAGTTTACTCAACCTCTATTTTAGTTACCGTAGTCACATTCTGTTCAGTGCTAACCTGGTTGGGAGCAGTTTTCTTCAGTAAACTTCTCCGTCTCTGCTCTCCCTACAGCCAATCATGTTGTTTCATTTCCTAATTAGACAGGAGATTTTTGTCTTAGTTTTCTGCATACAATAAAAAAAAAATAATTCACTGGGTCCGTTAGACACATTAGGTTTTAAAAACAAACATTGCATCTATGTTTGACAAGGATCCTATTAAAGAATGATCTTGAATTAATTTTTTTGCTTCCTGAAATTCATGTTCTGCTGCAAAAAATGTAATTTAGATCATTTGTTATTACAGTTCTGACTTAGAACATGATTTTGAACAGGAAGAATCTACAAATAGAACAACAGAGAGAAGAGTGCTTTTAATAAATGTAGAAAAATTTATATAAACTTATTGTTGGGAGCTGGAGAAAATCCCATCTTTCTCCAGCAGAGTCCGCCGTGGATCCTCTGAGGGAGCCTCCTGCACAGCTGCAGCTCATCTAGATCATCAGAGGATCCACTATATAAGCTGTCTTCAGACCTTGCCTCAACGCCGCAGTGTTGATGCTGAAGCAGCAAACGGACTCTGCTGATAAACACCTCTCCAGAACCAACAGTGACTCTTCCAAAGAGAACCTCAAGAACCCTCAAGGTACAATCACAGCTCACTTGGAAATCAAATCCTGTCAGCAGTCCTTAACCGCTCTGTCTCTCACGCAGACTCCGGTGAAACCAGAACCAGGGCCCGAACCAGTCATCAGTACATTCTGTGTGTTGTGCATAATAAACGTGTTAAACTTTCATCCTTGTGTCCGTCAAGTGGTGTTCTGCATAATTGGGTCTCCATTTGAGAACCCATCATGACACTTATGCATTAACTCTAGCAGCAATCTTCTTCTTTGCCATTTTCCTCTCCTTTATAGCTGTAGCACTGATACACTGTCCTTTAAATAAGTTTTCCATTTATATCTTTGATTTTTGCATTAAAATCTCTAGGTCAAGTAAGGCAAGGCAAGGCAAGGCAAGGCAAATTTATTTGTATAGCACAATTCAGTACAAAGACAATGCAAAGTGCTTTACATGATTAAAATACAGGAAGAAAAAACAGAATCAAAGCAAGTAGGAAAAAATAAAAAACAAATAAAATAAAATTAAAAATCCAGAAACAAAGTAGGGTGAAAGAGCCACTTCCTGTTGCCTGTGGTCATCATGACTCGTCGAATCAGGGATCCACTGATAATTAATAATAATAGTTTAACTTTATTCATCTCACATTGGAGAAATTTACCTCTGCATTTAACCCATCTCCTTGGGGAGCAGTGGGCTGCCATCGTGGGGTGCCCAGGGAGCAGTGTGGGGTTAAGAGTCTTGCTCAGGGACCCACAGTGGCAGTCTGTGGGAGTGGGGCTCAAACTCAGAACCTCAGGATTCCAAGTGCTGTGCCCAAACCACAAGGCCACCACTCCCCACATAAAATAGATAATGGCTCCTCATACTTGTTACGCACATGTTTAACTCTTAGTTGACCTACTTAGAGTTGATTAAACTAACTCACTGCAGCCTTTATGAAACTGAAAACTCAGTGTTTCCAACCTCAGGCTGGATCAATTCCAGTTTGAGGATTTAAGTTTGTTAAACCTGCTTATTGAAACATAGTTTCCATGGAAATCACTAAAGAAAGAGGATGACAGTCCTTTTCCACATATTAAACATTTGCTCCACACTCAACCAAACTTAAGTGTTTATTGCTGAAAAGATCAGGCTATGATCGTTGGTTGTTATGGAAGTCTAAACAGAGACTTCCATAACAACCATAATCTCTTAGGGCATAAAATACATTTACTTGTTGTTGTCTTTTACACATATTAGAGTCACTGAAAAAGAAAAACAGCCATTTAAAATTTAACACTTAAACCACAGAATTAGAAATCTAATTTGAAAAGCATTTTCTAATTTTACTTTTTTAAATTAATTATTAAAGATGTGTTTTAAATTGTATTTATTAACACATGATGAAATACTGAAAAAACACAATTCATTAATCTGATTATAAATATGGTTATAAATATGGTTCAAAAAGGTAATTCCTTTTTCAGTGTGATTTCCTGTCACCTTACATTTTTGAATCCTCTTTGCCTTTTTTTATTTGAAATTTGATTTTCAAATTCCCAAATTGAATGTTAAATCAGTAACTCTCCTTGTACTCTATACTTCCAAAGATCATGACTTAAATTATTATTTAGCAGATCAGCTTGGCCACTAAAATTATGAAAGATAACTTATTCAATAAGAGCCCAACAGTATGTTATTAAACTGAAACGAAATGTCTGCACTTAGTAAGATACAGGTTATATAATCAGAGTGAGAAAATCATTTCAATGGATGTTACTTAAAATAATTGTAAGAATAATTACAACAAATGTTTACCTATACTTAAAAGAAAACCTCCAAGCAAATAACGAGCAAAAATTATTTATTAGACACAGTCACAAAAAGATAATTCCAAAATCCAAAGTCGTTGAAACAATTTTAAGCAAATGTTTCTTATGCTAAATGTATTTGATTTATTCATTTTCCTTCCAAATGACTTCTAATCTGCATCCAGTTTTACTTTTTACCATGAAATCAGGTGCAAAAGCGGAAAGAGCAAACAATGTTCATGGTGTGTATTAAAAGTTAATTAAAACCAGTCACAATTTTATGAATGTGAGGCTATAAGAACATGTTTAGTGCATCAAAATGAATTAAACCTTCTTCATAACCTTGCTGCATTTTTTGTTCTGCAGCTCATACTTGCTGTTGCGTGGGTTGAAAGTCACTCTAAAGTGGCACTTCAGCTGCTGTGGAAGAGAAAACAGCAATAACTATTATTTTTTTTATTTATTTATTTTTTTACGGGTATATAAAAAGAAAGAGAGTAAACAAACTTACAGTTTTTGCCACTTTGCAGCTCTCCAAGTCATGATTTTCAGACTTGAGGCATTGGGTTTTTCCAAGGATTGCATCAATCTTAAAGTTAATCATATTGGTTACCTGAAGTGGGAAACAACAATGAATTTAAACAGCTAAAAGCAGATGGGGTCCATTAACTTATTTAAAGGGAGTTTAGTTTGACCTGGGTTTTAGCGTTGCTAACTGATACCAGTTTGAACATCCTCTTGGTCTTGGAGTGTGTGTTGAACATTTCCACTGCATGTCGAGTGGCTTTCTGAACATCTTCTGCTTCAGGCTTGTTGTCAGACCAGCCACCCAAAAGACGTACTTTTTCTGTGCAAGAGCAAACACACAGGACCGTTCGTTTTAATATTATTATTATTATTATTATAAAGTGACATGTATTATATACATATATTGAAAGTCCGCTATCCAGGAAAAATGTAAATGAAAAGTCTAGTATACAGAGAGAAACTGCAGGATTTGTGTTTCATACAAAGGCTGCATTTCTTCTGTTGGGACCGATGTTCAACTGAAGGAGATGTAAGAAGGTGCCTTGTTATTCTTCCTTGCTATTCACTGACCTTACCCCACATCACAGAACCCCATTACACTCAACAAACAGATAGATTTATAGCATAATAATATTATTGTCTGAGGTTGTGTTAATGCCATTAATTTACTCTTAAGAAACTTAAAATATACTTTCCTTCCTGCTAAATACTTCCGAAAAAATTAAATAAAAAACAATCCAGTGTACTTTGTTTCAAAGTTTGAAGACGTTTCGCTTCCTATCCAAGAAGTTTTTTCAATTTAAAATGTCAAGAATAGTGTTGAGTTGAAGGTGTTATACAGTAGCCCAACAAGGCTTTGATGGGCTAACCTACTTGCTTAAAAAAATTAAATGTGAGTTGGAAGTTTTTCCAACTGGTTTGGAGCAAAGTAACCAGCGGTAGGAAAAATAACTCTGTCTTACATTGACATTCTGTTTCCCTTTAATAAACAGGTAGGTAGCATTCATGCAAACCAGGAAGATTCTACTAACTTTATCGTCTCAGCAAGTATTTGCGGTGCTACACGTTTTCTGGAGAGAGAAGTGATTCTAATGCTCGCATTTATGATGCTGGTGGTAGAAACAGCTGATCAGTCACATGAGGTAAATCTTCACTAACTCAGAACTTATTCAAACGTGTTTCTATCTCATATTTACTGCATGTACTATTTTCCAAAAAAGTCCAAACATGGTCAAGTGGATGTAAGAACTTTCAAATTTACTAAGCAGATTTAAATGTTGCCTTTTCCTTCAACCTTTTCTAATGCGATATTTGGAAATACTCATAAATAAAATTGAAAGAAAACATCTGTAAACCTATATCACTACTACAGTGTTCTGAACAGAAATAATTAAACTAAAATAATCTACTTAATTCAAAATATTAGTTGTTCAGCTGGCCTCACAGAAAACATCTATGATAGCGGCGGTCGTTATCACAACACGTACTGATATTTCTTCCCAAAAAAGTAAAAAAAAAAAAAAAGCAATCAACTGCACTTTGTTTCCAAGTTTGAAAACGTATCACTCCCATCCACGAAGCTTTTCCAATTCAAAATGTCAGGATATTTCAGTCTTGCTGGGTGGAATTTTTTTTTCTTAGTCTTAGATAAGACAGGATGTCAAATCCAAGCAGAAATTACTTCAATTTTGGCGTTTGTTTTTATATTATGGTCAATTTTCTGTATTATACATTTTCTTCATACAGTTTACTTTTTAAAGCACTTTTAAACATCTTTCATAAAGAGTGTTAAATAAATAAACTTTCAGTGTTTTGTTTATTGTGGCCAATAAAAGAAAGACTTCTTGAGAAAGAAAAATCATAGCAGCTAACAAAAATGTAAACCTAGCAGTAATTAATCATATTAACAAAGACATTTGCAAAGACACGTCTGAATGAAAACATGTGGCGACGACTAGCAAAAATTCTGAGAAGCAAAGAAAATGTGGACATTTGACAGAATGCAAACACCATAGTCAGCCCTGTGAATTACACCAGTGCTGACAAAACCATGGAAAGTTTGTATGATATTGCATTTTTTTTTCTAAAATGAAACAAATGAGCAAAATATTCTACTCAAGGTTAATGGACAATTTTTTTTTTTTGTTTGTTTATTTCAGAAACTGTTTCTCTGCAGCTTCACTTTTCTGATACTGTAGAGATGCTTAAAAAATGATCTGTTTGCATCCATCAGGCTTTTATGTTTGGATGTTACTATGTTAAAGGGTATATTCATTGTGCTTTTTAACATATAACAAAGCTTTTATAGCGCATTGTAACTTGGTGTCTTTAAATATCCTTTTAAGATTAAACTTTGTTCAGCAGAAATAGGGAAGCTGGACAGACATGATGGATGTAAATCAAGAGCAGATCTGATCACCTAGTGTGGTTTTATGACTGGATCCATCCAGTACTTTTCCTGTTACTTTACTTTTCCACTTTAGTTTTAGCTGTTCCAAACTTTCTCATGCGGATAACTTGTATTGACGTGCTAATTTCAAAATCACACCAATCTCTTGTATAGAGACTTGAGGAGACTCACTCCTTTTGCCTGCCAGCAGCTGCTGCTCGTTGTATCCACACCCAGTCAAACACTGAATCTCATGACGACTCGACTGACAATGTGAAAAAAGCTGCTGATCACACCCTACTTTGCACCTTTTAAATAAAGACCTCTGATCGTCAGAAGCTTGGAACAAAGAGGTTTAGTTTGGATTTTGGCTTGAATAACTGCACAAGTAAAATAAAATGTATGGGTCAAATATATATCCTATCTACCATCAGATAGGATGGCATTGAAATAAACAAAAATGAAGACAGGATATTTTATTATTAAACTGGATAACATATAGTGTCTTTTATAATGTAATACGTTTTGATACTGGAGGGCAATGGCTTTCTCTTTTCCCCCCAAAGTAGCCTCCTTTCTGCCAAATTAAACAACACTTTGACAGTGATGAATTAATCTAACCTGTGGCTGAAGCCAAAACACATGACTCATAGTATCCAACCACAATGCAGTGTGGAGTCATCCTCTCTGGACCATAAACACACAAAAAAACCATTAGGTCAGACAGCCACCCTTTTTTAGAACTATAGGTTCTTTATTTCTATAGGCCCAGATTCCTTTGTTTGAAACAGTTTTCAGACCTGCTATAAATCAAATTTTGCTACAAACGTATATTACTATTTCCTTAGGTTGTAACAGAATTCAGTCAACTTCTTTTTCATTTAATAATGTTTGCTTGTTTCATTATAATCTGAATATATTTATTTTTCTTTGATTAAGTATTATATCTGCTGTATGTTTAACAACAAAGACACAACCTTTAAAGATAGATCACAAGAAAATATCCATAAGTTTGGAGACATGTTGATTAACTGGTTTGCAGGTTGTCAGGCAAAATGTTGTGTTCATGGTTGCACAGTTGAATTACATGTTACTTGCCTGAATTGACTTTTTCTTCAGTATATAGACTGCATTGCCAAACATTTTTATAGGATTTCTTATCTGTTTTTTAACTTACTGGTTGAAATGACTTCCTCCAAAGGTATATCTCCCACACAGAGCTGGAAGACTGACAGGCATATCAGCACTGACAATGGCAGAGACATCTTTTCTAACAGCTTGTCAGTCAGGAAGTTTGCAAGAAACTGAGAAGTCCTGGTCAATGTTTAAAGGCACAAAAGAAAAAAAAGAAGTTAAAATCTAGGAAACATATCAGATCCAGAAAATTGGTAAATAAATCAACCACCAACCTTGTAGATGTTGTTTGCCGTGAGTTAAAGTGGGGGCAAATACCAGAACAGATGAAGAGTGAAAGAGCTTCAGTGTATTCGAGTGAATGTGTGTGTCAGCATTCAGGCTTTGGTATGTTTAAACCATTGGTGCAGACCACACCTACCCTTCTACAGTGATGACACGCATGTGCAAGAGTGGGTGTTTGTTAATCTTCTTGTGCTCCAGTTTTTCAGGAAAACTCACACATGTTAAGTAGAAGGGCTCTATGATAATACCATGTCCACAAGGAAGTACCTACATAAATTTATATTTTTAATTTTGGTAGTTCTGGGAATATCATAACTATTACTTCTATTTACACTTCTTGGAGAAGTGTAAATAGTGAAATTCAATTCAAAGAGAAATTCAATTTGACAGAGAATGTCACCTTACAAGCAAAGCAAACAAATATGAAATGTATTTCTATTTTATTAAACTCATGGTTTAATTCCTTTTTTTTTCATTCAGTCATTTTCAATCTGATACTGTTTAAGTAAATTCAAGGTAACAAACTGCCCTCAGATGTCACCTAACAGTTAAATAGTGCTGCATACATGCTATTTACTCTCAGTATAAACACAGCTGTTTTGTGAAAGTCTAATGCATGTTTGGGAACATTAGTGAATAAACAGAATTATCATGACTGAGCTCACCGAGGCCATACATTTAATACTTAGAAGATGATTTGTAAAAAGGGAAAATGTTATTTCCTTTCCTTCCCTATACATTTGTATTTATTAGAATTATTAGACAGCAAGGGATTCATTCCAACTGTTATGGAAATAACAGAGCAAACCCATTACATAGACTACAGACATGTCTTAAAGACATAAAAACCTGGATGATTCTTAACCTTCTGCACCTGAATGCAGAAAAAACAGGAGTTATAGTCTATAACCAGGGTCTTTGAAAAAGAAACTGATTAGTCAGTCACTTCACTTGGATGGGATTGAAATAATCTCACATAATAAAGTAAAATTTTTGTGTTAGTTTTGATCAGGACCTGTCATTTAAATCCCATATTAAAAAAAGGTTTCACTCTGCTTCATTCTATCTCTATTCTCCCACTCTGCAGAATCTATTAGTTCAATCTCTGATGTTATGCTCTCTCTGCTTTTTCTCATAGTAGCTTCATCTGTTCTTGTTTGGCAGTGACACCATCCTGGAGAGAAATGTATGCTGTGCTGCTCCCATCAACACCTTTTTCTATAAATGTTCAAGATCTGCCTATTTTTCAGTGTAGTCCTGTTTCTCTGACTGTGAATGGATGTGCTCTCTTTCCTCCTCTGACATGGGAGCTGGCTCGGAGCTCGTCTGCCTGGCTGTGTGTTTCCTAGACGTGGCCGCCTGTGAAGCTGGTTCACACTTGCCTTTTGCATCTCTGCTACTAACTGTATGTCTTCCTCTTTTTCTATGTCTGCTTCTGTCTCCTTGAACCCCAGTCGGCCTCGGGAGATGGCTGCTCACGCTGAATCTGGTTCTGCTGGAAGTTTCTTCCTGTTAAAAGGGAGTTTGTCCTCTCCACTGTCGCCACAAGCATCCTGAGTGTGAGGGATTGCATTCCAATCAATGAGTCGATGCAATCAACTGGTTTTCCTTAAATAGAAAACTATTTATGGTCTTATAAACAACACAAGTTTGGTAGATACAGAGAGGGGGGTGCTTTACCGTTGCTATTTGTCTTTTTACACTAAAAGAGTGAGTTTGATTTGTTTTATTTAGCTTAACGTTGTAGTATAAGGCTGTCATTTCGTTTTATTTATTAATAGTTTCTGTTGAGTTGATCTAATGTTGTAAACTTATATTCTCTTAAAGCCTCCACTCATTACCAACCCCCAGTTTGTATTGTAAAATCAACCTCAGCATCGTGGAAACTTTTCCCCATTTAACAATAGACACGAAGTCCTTCTCCATGTGTTCATTCAGGGTGTCAGCCCTATACTAACGTGGAGTATTCATTGTCAATTGTATTATCTGACCAGCAGAGTTAGTTTTTTTTTTTTTTATGGAGACTTGGTGAGCTCAAACACTTAACAATGAGTCATGTGGCTTATTTTTTCCAACATACCCTCCTCCTTGTCTTCTTGTTTGGTATCAGGATCAACTTGTCTTCTTCTCTAGAGAACAGGGGTCACCAACGTGGTGCCCACAGGCATCATGGGACCCTCAAGGACCACATGGGGTGCCCTCAGCATTTTCTGAAAATGGCACAGCTCATGAGAGGGCTAAGTCTGAAATTTTATTTCATTCAGCTTCTCCTTCAAAATGACAACATCTAAAAAAAAATTGAAAATATAAAATATAATTGTACTATGCATGAAGTTTAAGTGAACGCTGACTCCTCCATTCACAGGTCAGTATTGGTAGCTCTTCCAATGGCCCCTGCTATAGAACATCATATTCTACTGTCTTTCTCATTTTAAAGAAAACTATGTCTGTATTATATTATATTTATACCTAAAGGAAAAACAAATGTCACCGTTTAATGGGTGACTTTTTTTTTGACATTGTCAGATTTAATAATTCAAATTTACCAAAAAAGCATTTGCTTCATTAATACTGATTTTATTTTAGGAGAGCTAAAAGGTTTGCAAAATGCAAAAAACCTGAAAATGCATTTATCAACATTGATAGAAAAAAATTGATCTCACAGTGTAGAAATTAACTCTCTGCATTTAACCCATCCCCTTGGGGAGCAGTGGGCTGCCACTGTGCAGCACCCAGGGAGCAGTGCAGGGTTAAGGTTCTTGCTCAGAGACCCAGAGTGCAGGCAGTGGGGATCGAACCGGGTACTTGCAACCTTCCATGCCAGATTTTTCTTTCTTTAATTAGATGTAATCATAGTAAAAGTGGAATTTTGTTGAATAAGTGAGATCATACCAGTGCAATAGAAGTTAACTCATTGCTCTAATGTAAATTAATGTATATAACTCTCTCTCTCAATATATATATATATATATATATATATATATATATATATATATATATATATATATATATATATATATATATATATATATATATATATATATATATATATATATATATATATATATATATAAATTTCTTTTTTGTTTGTTTTGTTTGTTTGTTTTAGCCTGACTCTTACACTTACTTCTTTGATGATTCCTTTTTCCTTGTTTTACATCTCCAGTAGTTTACTGAAGCTGATGTCACAAGGGAATTTCTCCATTGTGAAATCAAAAAAGTCCTATCTTATCTAACATCTGCAAACATAAAATCAGTCATCCTGTCTGTAAGCAATCATCCTGTCCAGCAGAGAGCAGCAAAAGGCACAGGTTTAACTCTAAGCAGGCTTCTGACTTTAGAAAAGAAATATCTTTTTTAGTTGCTTATGGTCAGAATTACACAACAAATGTACCAGATACAGAAAAAAAAAAATAATTTCTATTTTCTTTTATTATAAAAGACAAATAATATGGAATTATTATGATTAATTCAGTTTTTGACCAATAAAACTTTGAAGCATAAAAAAGTCACACACTATGGACAACAAAGATAGCCAGATGGGACCTGAATGACCGTTAGGGTGGATCGTCTGCAGATGGGCAAGCACAAAGATTCACTGCTCAAACTGAAATTGAAAAATAAAGGTCATTTAGATGGCTGGGAGCCCAGGAAAAAAGAGCACCTGCAGTGCAGGCTGGGCAACAATAGCAGAAACGGCTAAATGACAAAGGCACTGGTTTTTAATTAGAGAACACCAAGACACATAAAAGAATAAAGAAACAATGCATGTATTCTTCTCAGCTTCATGAATCTGTTTTGTTTTTTTTGTTTTTTTTGTTTTTTTTTTGTAGGAATTTGTTAAACTCACTTGGTATTGAATCCAAAGCTGAATCTCCACTATTTAAGCTCAGCTAATTATTTCATAATTGACCAAAATAGGTCAAACTAAAATACAGTAATCTCTCCTTTAGGTCTGGTTACTGATCACTGCATTAATGCTCCTAATGAGGTACTTTATAGAAAATAGTTCCACACCGCTGCAAGACACCAGGGTCAATGAGGGGCTCTCTGTGTGGATCCGCGGGAAATCCCCTTTTTAAAGCAATAATTGATGTCAGTCCTGTTTGCCCGATTGACGGGCTGGAATCCAAGCAAGGTTTCATAATGTTCTATTCAGTCTGTTAATCATAAAACTAGGTCAGTTAGGGGTCTAGTCCCTTAACCGTTGCTCCCAGAGAGATTCAAAATAACTCATTTGAAGATGGTATTTAAACAAAGAAGGAATGGTTCCTGAGGGTACATTGCTTTAAAAAATATAATTACCCCCTTAAAATGTTTGTTTTTTATTACATTACAACAACAAACCTTAACCCTTTATAGGGCAAGTTGCCATTTTTTATCACTTGCATACCCGTTACAAATGGATTCCCCCCTTCATCTCTCAGTGAGGTCTAAAAGCACAAGATCTATAACCCGCCATTCAGCAAAGATACTTCTAGATGGCTCTACATCTTACTTTGGCATTTGACCAAATAGATGAGCCCTTGAATGATATATTACCTACTGTAAATTAAGTTGAAAAAGGTAAAAAGCTAACTGAAGAGTTAAAAAGTAAAGTTAAAAAGTGAATAAGCCTAGTTAACAATTATTTAAGTTAATAAACAAAAAATATAAGCACCAGTATCAGCATTAATGACTCTAAGGCAGAAGTCTTCAACAGGGCGTCTGCTACCCCTAGGGGGTCCACGGGGGTACTGCATTGGAGTCGCGAAAGTTTTGGTTGATTAGACTTTTTATTATATTCCCCCCTGCAAGTTTTTTCACTAATTGAAATATCTTTAAATACACATTAACATTAATTAAACACACTGTAGTAAACAGATAAATGGAGGCAGAAGATGTCTTTCAGTCATCAATGCACACATTCAGCGACACACAGGAGCTCTTTCAAGCTGGGCACCGTTTCCTTCACAACACCTGTCCCATCAACCAGGAATCAGAATCAGAAATACTTTAATAATCCCAGGGAGAAATTACTTTCGCTACATTACTCCAATTGTAATAGGACAAGTTTAATATATCACAATTTCATACAATATATATATAATTAGGGGGTCCCCGCTCCATCTCGCCATCAGTTAGGGGTTCTT